AGGTGCCATTAGCTTTAATATGCAGCCTTTTCTCATCCTCCAGCCAATAGGGCCTCCCTGTCCCCTTTCATACACAAACACACAAATTACCTTCTACTTCTGCAATGGTCATTTTGTAATTGGAGGGGGGTAGGGGAAGAGTGCTGGAGGAATCCTTGAGTTTTCTGGTCTAGGGTCTCTCCCATGGAACTCTATGTGCTCTCTGGCCCCTTGATGAAGGATGCACCCTTTGCTGAGATGTCGTGACTGTAATTGGTGGTGTTCCTGGTGACTGAGGAGCCATTTCAAAGATGTCTGACCACTGATCCAGAAAAAAAAAACCTGCCCATTCTATGAGCTCTTTGGGAGATGGGGGAGAGAAGGGGGAATCCAGAGGGAATCTCTCCCCTCACTCAACCCCATCTCTAGCTCCAACAGCAATGACAACAATCCTGAAAAATAGACATTTCCCATCCTGGCACTAACCTCTTGGTTTGTGAATGGGGCACTGGGAATGCAGAGGGAGATGATTTCCCCAGCACGACTCTACTCAAGAAAGCCCGTCATGCATGGGCTGGCCCGGAGATCCAGACCCTGTGAGCTGCCCAAACCTTGCATAAAGTAGCCTTTGGCCACTTAGTCATCCAGAAAGAGCCTGGGGGAAGGAGACAGAGCACAGCTTTTCAGCCCTGCTCCCAGCCCCACCACACAGAGACCAATAAAGAGTTGCTGAATTATCTCGACAAAGTACGTAGCATTTAGCAAATACACCTGCCTGGCTCCATGGTTGAGAGGAGAGAACAGGAAATACAGGGACATCTTGTTCCATGGAATTCAAAGCAAGCAGAGTTGTAGATTGAAAATGGACAGTGAGTTGGAAAGTCCAGATACAGCCCAGCATAAAGGAAAGCTTTGGGAGCACTTTAGCATTCCATGCCTCAGTCCTCTAATCAGAACGGAGAGTAGGGTGAGAGAGATAGGAAGGTGTTAAGTAGCTCTCCAGTGCCCCTCCCAGGATAAGCAGTAACCTGAACACTCATCATCGATCCAAACACGCTCCCTTTCCAACAGCATTCCAGTTCATTCAGGGACTTGTCACTCTTTTTTTTTTCCTTAACTGTCTTTATTTTTACTGTTCTTAGGAGGGACTATGAATATGGAGGAGTGGATATTATGAAGTGTTATTACTGTAAAAATATGGGCTTGTCACTCTTAATCTAAAGTCTTGGATTCTTTGGTTTACAAAGACATCTTATCAGGTAAGGAAGCATCTTGTCACTTTAAATGGGGTGGGGTGATTTGATTGATTCACTCAATCACCACAGCACCCCTACAATTTGATGCTAAAAGTAAAAATACTGTGAGCAACATTCCAGCATGAGTGTCTACTTACACAGGGAACCGAGTCATTTATGTCAAGGTTACGTGACCAGTGCTCACTGAAAATACAGCAGGTCAGAAGAAGCAACTTTAGCTAGAGATTGGAGCTAATTTTGAAAGCGTAGACCCACAAATCCTCACGTCCCTAGACAGGACATGGCCGCACCCTGGAGAGGGGTGGAGATGAGAGAGGAGAGCCTGTCATAACCTGCCGGGTAACCACAAACAACATGACATGTCTGCGAGGGTGCTGGTGAGGCTTTCTGTCTTTGGCAAGTGACTAAACATCGCTGCTTAGTGGTTAGAAATGCTTATTGAGTGATTGATAGTGGCTTCAGGCTGGTCTCCCTTCCATTAGAAGAGATTTAAGGAATACCTCTCCACACTCCAGGTTATTAAAAATCATAAAATGCCCGGTAACACGTATCTCTCTAGCCTCACTCTGGAAGGGATGATACATCATCCCCTTAGTGAATGTTCCCCAGGGCTCTGTCCAAAGCCCTCTTCTCCCTGGATGCTACTTCACTTGGTGATCTCATTACCTTCCAAGGATTCAATTATCATCTCTATGCAGATGATTCTCGGTTTTATTTATCTGGCCTTAACCTCATTGCTGACCTCCAATCTTGTTTTTCCAGCTGCTTATTGGACATCTCCAAGTGGATAGATACCCTATTGACCAAAAGTGCCAAATGGGGGCCACCAGACCTCATGCAGTCAGCTAAATTTCCAGAGAACCAGATTAAAATATAATTGGAAAATGTTTAACAAAATAAATAAAAACACAATACAATGCAGATCATAATAATTTGTGGGGTTTTATGTCAGTAAATAACCAGAGTTTCTATTTCAGTTTGACATTACTGCTGTAGACATGTTAAACTCAACGTGTCCAAAACGCAACTTGTTATATTCCCCCCAAACCTTCTCTTCTTCTTAACTTCCCTGTTACTGTTGAAGGTACCACCACTCTCCCACTCAAAAACTAGGTGTTGTCTTCTACCTCTTACTCTGTCTCTCCACCCCCATGTCCAAATGGTGGCCACGTTCTATCATTTCTACCTTTGTAACATCTCTCATATATGTCCCCTTCTCTCCTCTGACGTTGACACTGACCAGTCTGGTCCAGACCACCATCACCTAAAGCCTGGACTATTGCAATAGCTGCTGGTGAGTGGGGGTCTTCCTGACTCAAGTCTCCCCTCTTAATTATTCTAAAGCACAGATCTGACCACATCACCCTCGTACTCAATAAACTTCCGAATCATATATAGAGCCCTCAGTCTTACTCTTAAAGACCTTCCTAATCTGGGCCCTTCCTATGTTTCCAGCCAACGTAGTGCTGTCATTTTGGTCCTCTTTGAGACCAAAGGACAACAACAGGCTGGGGCTGTCTTTTGTCTTACTTTGTATCCCCTAGCACTCATCACAGTGCCAGTAAGCACTTAATAAATGTCTGTTGACTGACTGACAGTAGCTGTCCTGCAGGACTGTTGTGGCAAACTGCTTAGAGGAGTTTTCAAGCTTCCAGCATCTGTCACCCTCCTCACTTCCTTAGCACCCTCCTTTCCTTTCTCTTACTAATTCTTCTTTTTTAAAATTGCTTTGGCAATTGGGGTTAAGTGACTTGCTCAGGGTCACACAGCTAGTAAGTGTCAAGTGTCTGAGGGTAGATTTGAATTCAGTTCCTCCTGACTCCAAGGCTGGAAGCTCTATTGACTTTGACACCTAGCTTCCCCTCTTGCTAACTCTTACTAAATGTCACCAACTACCTCCTGGTCTCATCCTCTTCCACTTTCTCTCCCTCCTCCACCTCTTTTTACCTCTTCCTTATCCCCTTTTTTCTCCTCCCCCTCTTCCTCCCTTCCACCTCTTCTTCTTTTCTTCCCCTCTTCCTCCTCCTCTTCCTCTTCCTCCTCTTCTCCTCCTTCTTATCTCCCCTTTCTCCTCCTCACTTCCTCTTCTCCCCCTTCTCTTCGTCCTTCTTCTCTTCTGGTCCCCTGCCCTGGTCAGATCTCATTTGATCCACTGTGGTCAGTTCTGGGCATGATGGGTTAAGGAAGATTAGGAACTTGGAAAGAGGCCTGAGAAGAGAACTCTGGGTAGGGAGTCCATGACATGTGAGGATCCCTTGAACGAACTGGGCATGTTTAGGTTGCAGAAGAGACTTGGGGTGGGGGTAGGGGTAGGGGAAGGTTTGTTAGGCTGAAATGCTTGAAGGCTTCTGGTGTGGTTCTGTTTGACCCCAGAAGGCAGAGCCAGGAGATGAGGGAAAAAGCTTCAGGGTCCAGCTGAAGTTTGATGTCAGGAAAAACCTTGTGCTAATCGCGCTGTCCCAGAGCGGTGTGGGCTGCCTGAGGGGGTGGTGAGTTACCCTTTCTTGGATCGGACACATTCCTCTTGTGTATTGGCTGGAGCAGATTCCACTGAGGTTCCCCACCCCTCTCCCCCCCTTTCCTCCCCAACCCTATGGGCCTGGAATAGGGTTTCTGTTTAGCAGGTTATGTGGATTCGAGGAAGATTATTTTGGCAGCCCCAAGGAGGATGTGGGTGTGTCCTGGTGACTGAAAGCACCAAAAACAAGCGTGGAGAACCCAGGGAGGGGCTGCCCGAGGGTAGTTTCCTGGGAAGTTTTGAGAAAGGATGGTAGACAGATGGAATCACAAGAAGGGGAAACTGATTCCATGGGAAGAAGGTTGGATAGGTTTGAGGTGACCTCCAAGATGGTTAATCTCTGTGACAAAACTGGCAAGTAGGAAGAAGCATTTATCCAGCCCCTACTATGCGCCAGGCGCTGGGCTAAGTGCTTTTACAAATATGATTTCATTTGATCCTCACAACAACCCGGTGAGGTAGGTACTATTATTAGCCTCATTTTTTACAGTTGAGGAAACTGAGGCAGACAGGGGGTGAGTGACATGGCCAGGGTCACACAAGTAGTAAGTGAGTGAGGCTGGATCTGAACTCAGGTTTTCCTAACTCCAGATCTAGCACTCTATTCAATGAACCACTCAGTTGCCTCTAAGTTAAGGAAATAGGTAGCTTTGGGGGAAGGAAGAAGGGGAATGACTGTTCAGTAACCACAGGGCATAAGGCATTTAGAAACATATATTAAGCAGAAAACCAATCTACTTCCAGGGAGTTGCTTGTATATGGGACAATGTCACAGGGCTTGCCCCTCTTTCCCCTCTACGGACCTTGGGGTTAAGTGGCTTGTCCTGGACTCCTACTTTCCAGATCTAGGGCTGGAAGAGACCTTTAGTCTAACAGAGGAGGAATCTTAGGTCCAGGGAGGAATCTTAGGTCCAGGTAGATTAGGGAGGTGAAGGGACCCCTCACCTAAAATGTCATACAGGCAGCAAGGGACACCCTTAACACCCTTAACACCAGGCCACACTATCTCCTTGCCTGAGGTGGCTCTGGCGGGGCTGTGGTGTACCTGGGCATGGGCCCCTTGAGGACTTAGCAAAAAGCATGCCATGGTCAAGTGATGCTGCTCCTGGCTCCACTGATTTCCCAGCCTCTCTCTCTCGATGTCACCCTCCCCTTCACCCTCCTGGGGGCAGGGACCGAGGGCTGGAGCCCTGCCAAGCCAACTGATTCAGGCACTCAGACAGCCTTTCCTACCCTAGGCTCACTGCCTCATTGGCAGAAAGTGCTTTCACTTTCAGTTCCTAAGAAATGGAAGCTTTTAAACGGAAGTGAGGGATTTGGTGATATTGAACAAGGTCCCAGAGCAGACCTTCCTGGATTTCCCAAAGGCCAGATTGACCCACTGTGAAGCACTTCAGGTAAGAAGAAGGGGAGGCCACGGTAACCCAGGTTGCAGGAGGGAGAGAGAGTGATGGGGCAGATCGTGCTGGTATTGAGGTTTAGAGTTGGGAGAGCTGGTTCAGGGGTGAAAGAATTTACTTAGACCTTCTCTGTAAGTATTGGGAGTTTTATTGATGCAAAAGCAGCGGGCTAGTCCTGGAAAGAGGACTAATAACTTAAAGAGGGACAGGTTCAGTTTTATAACGACGGGATGAGGAAGATGGTTGCTTACAAGATAGTTTTAGAAGTTTTATGGGGGTTAAAGATTAGAGACAGGTCAAGAAAGGATTTTATGACATAGAATGAGGGAGACGAAGGGAATTCTTTATAGTTTACAGGGCATGAGAGCACAGGTTAAAATTTAAAGGACAGAGGGAAGGTAGGCTAAGGGACATAAAAGCAATTCTTTTGGTACCGGTTCACGATAAGAGTGAAAGGACTTTAAAATGCCTTTCAAGTTACAGAATAAACTGGGGTTTCACAAAGTACTGGAAAAGCAACTTTAATATTCTCTTAACCCTTCGGGCACTGTATGTCTTCCGCTTCGTTCCCCATTCAAACACTAGGCAGGAGAAATCTTTCTGGGGGCGTGGGGGGGGAAGGGGGGGAAGGGGGGAAGGGTCGAAGGTCATTATCTTCAGTAACTGCTTCCTGCTGAACAGGGGCGAAGAGTCTATTTCAAGGTCCAAGAATAGGTTGCAAAGGGGTGGTCAGCGTCGGGGTGCAGAATGCGGTGCCAGCTGAGTCCAGGACCAAGAGAGGAAAACCTCTGGGGGAACACCAAGGGTAAGGGCTGTTATAAAAGTGGAACTTCTGCAGGTGAGAAGCCACGAAGCGAACCAGGAAGTTAAACAAACACAGACCAAATATAAAAGCGAGTAAAATGATGGAGGAACGACGACCCAGGAGGAAACAGGGGGAGATATCAGGCCAGAGTGGATGTCTGGCATCCAAGAGGCTGCCTGTGCTCAAAGGGTAAATTCTATGCAAGGTTTTCAGGGAATAAAGGGAGAGCTATGGGGAGTAAGCTAGTATCCTGGGAATGATGATGACACACTCAGCAATTATGTACTCCGCCGCAGAGTTCCCTATTTGAATTAAGGCATCAGACTTCCAATCCCTAACCCTAGGCACAGGGTGAGGTAGGAACAGGAGAAGTGGTTTAAGGTGGGGCCCAGAACAAAGTAGCGCTAGAAAGCATGCAGGCAAGTCCGCAGGTGAAGGGTTTCAATGCATAGTCTTTGATCACTCCTCTGACTGGTCACATCCTGCATCTTATCCCATCTCTCACATCATGCATCCTGCTTGCTCCATCTGCCTCAGTACTCCTGCCTGCCTCACCATCCACCCAAATGCTTTTGAGACAGGGACAAAGGAGCTCTCTCTGCCTGAGTGGGAGTGGGAAGGGGAGTAAAATGAGGCTGAAGCAGCATCCAGGGGATGAGGAGAGTGTGAAACAGGCATCCTTGTTGCATGAGCATCTGTAGGGGGTCGGCTGATAATCTGACAAGCGAGTTCAATAGGCAGAGCCCAAATAGAATGAGCATTAAAATGACATCAGAATAGAGGAAAACAAAGAAAGAAACCAAGAGCCCCATGATGCTATTATTTGCTTTTGGCATACAGGATTATCTGATCTTGTTGTTTCCTCAAAAATTTCCACTCTGATTCCAATTCTTTTAGGAGGATCAGATGCTGTTGAGGACTCAACTCTACACATATAACAACACTTTTGCAGGTAGAAGCTTTCTACCCTTCAGTTCAGTAGTTACATAAATGAATTTCCTTATAAGAGACTGACTTTTATTGACTTTACAATTATCATAAAAGACTTGGGAAGATCCATAAGTAATTAATTCCCAAACAGTACATATCAGTAAATTGTTTATAATAAATTATATTTGTACCACAGGACACACAGAATAAACAGGTATTATTTCCACAAGAGTAGTAAACTTTAAATGAAGTTGACATAATTAATTAATTAATTAATGCATTGATAATTGCATTATTGCAAAAATTTTGCATAAGTTACTTCCCTCTTAGAAAATTGCATTGAAATCTTTCCCCCAAACTGAAGATGTCTCTGATTTTGTTTCAGTAATTAATAGAATAACAGCTAGGTCTCTCAATCAGTTGTACCACTACCCAATTATTCTTACATCATTTTGAAACATTTAAGGACCTTGTCCTATACAGACATATATATCTAGTAACAGGCAGATGACTAGGCCAATACTCATTTGTTAAGTTATTGAAGATGTAGAAAGGAATATAATCTTAGGTTGAATAGCTTAGATCGAAAAGACACATTTTAATATAGTAGCTCAGAGGTATCCCAGACTTAGTTATAACTATTCAACATTGTGTTTGTACCTTTGTTTCACAAATTTGTTTTCCTTTGTCTAATTATTCCCATATCCTTCAGAAAGAATGTTCTATTCCAGGGATTTAATCTTTCACGTGGCTATGCAGGAGTGTTAATTTACCCAACTGTTTGGGATACGGGATGACTGCACATTCAGATTGAAAACAGCAAGATTTCCCATGCTTGCATTGTGCTCACATCTTTTACTGACCATTTGCTTTGATTACAGAAATTTGCCATAAAAAGGAAAGGCAAGGACATGATTAGATAAAACATCACAGTTTTCCAACCATGTAGTATCAAGTCTACCTCATAGCCAGACTCAGGAGTAGTCAGGTGGGAAACATTACTTTTCAAAGGAACACAATGGGGAAACTGAGCCAGGAGGATCCCATCTTAGGCTGAGGCTAAGACTGTCCTCTCAGCTCTTCCAGATGCAGACCTGCACCTGTAACAGTCACATTCTCTCTGAGTAGCTTGTGGCATATCTCTCAGATGGTGGATTATTGACTATTGATTATCGATGGATTTTTATGATCCATCAGACAATTCATAACACAACTCGCTATGGTCCCATGAGTTTTTACCTCAGATGGCAGGTTTCACTAATCAAAAATTTGCCTGGACTCACATCTTAAATGTAAACTTATCCACGTGCAAAAGCCAATCACTAGAGATCATTTCTATATACTATCGAATTCTCATCAAGCCAGATTCCTTGTTTAGGAACTCCATAATTCAAACAAGATCTCTGGCAAATTTGCAAAATTAAGGAGGATCAACAGCGATCCCAAAAAGGGGGCTGCCTTATCCACTCCATGTACCTTTAGAATTTCTATGGGCTGTGTTTTTTGACTAGCCCTGAGGACTGCTCTTTTCCAACACACACACACACACACACACACAACACACACACACACACACACACACACACACGGAGAGTAATCAATTACCAGCTTTAGGTTTTAGCATTAAAACAATAACCAACAATCTTACAATTTTCATAAGTGATAACTAAAGTGTTCTGGCTGTAACACAAACAACAAACTTCAGGTGACAATAATTGCATTTCCAGATCATATAAAAATTGTTGATAGAAGAATGAGCTGGATTACCAAGTGCAGACGCAGACTGGCTGGCTTCTTTACCTTGACCCATCCATCCCCTTTCACTCTCTCCCCTCAGCTGTGTGCTGAAAGATACTTCCTGCCTGTAGCTGCTGCCCTTCCCCCTCCTTCCTTTGGCTAAGTGGGGGAAAGTGAATTTGCAGGTGGGGGAAAGGGTGAAACTCTCTTTTCCTAGTCTGATCTGGGATGAGAGGGGTTAACGGAAAAACTCTAAGGCTGTTTGCAGTCCCCACTGAGATACTCTCTTGACTCAAGGGAAGGGAGTGGAAGAAGGGAGTGACCAGGGTTGTAAGGAGGCTATAACCATCAATCTCAAAACTTCCAGAAACTACTAAGAAGTCTTAGCTGTCCTAACTTTTTCACTTCTATGTCCACCCCTTAAAAACTTAGAGTGGGGGCAGCTAAACGGCACAGTAGATAGAGCTCTGGCCTTGGAGTCAGGAGGACCTGAGTTCAAATCTGGTCTCAGACATTTGAAACTTACTGGCTATATAACCCTGGGCAAATTGCTTAACCCTGATTGCCTTAAAAAACCAGAACAACCTTAGAGTGGGGAATTAAACTTTTCAAACCTACGTTCTCCAGATCAGTGTCTTTCTTCTTCTTCTTCTTCTTCTTCTTCTTCTTCTTCTTCTTCTTCTTCTTCTTCTTCTTCTTCTTCTTCTTCTTCTTCTTTTCTTCTTCTTCTTCTTCTGGCAATAGGGGTTAAATGACTCACCAGCTAGTAAATGTCAAGTGTCTGAGGCCGGATTTGAACCAGTGTCCTTTCTTATGGTACCTGCAGCATGAACCATTGACCCTTTTTCTCTGAAAGCACCTATTTAAGGCTGATCCAAGAACACAACAACCCTAGGAATGAAACTTGGAAAATTCACAGTAGACTTGGACATAATTGTTATCAGTATCAAATTGTTGCAACAAATTAGCTTGCAAAAGGAAATTTAATAGGCCTTCTAAAAATCACATTCAAAAAAATTTTGCAGAACATTTCTTTGTAAAAAGTATTTCCCTTTCTTTAAAAAAAAAAGCTTGCAATTTATCCTGATGTTAAAACAATAATCAGTAAACTTTTTATGAAGTAAATTAGCTGGAAACCTTAAAGATAGGAATTTATCAAAACCAAGTTGGTATAAAATGTCTTTTAAGTATCACAAATCCCCTAAGTGCCATAAAACCAAAATTCTCAATAATCACAAATTCCTAAGTACCAAAAGGTGTTTACTTTGGGAAGTTCAGGTTTTTTTTCTTCCTAAGGCAAGAACATACCCAATTAAATTAGCCTTATCACAATAACAAAGTTTACCAGACACAAAGCTTTCCTTTTCAAGGACTTGGAGACCAAACTTTTTCCAGTTCTAACCCAGAGGAACTTCCCATGGAGTCTGTCTTCGAGGATCTGGTGGCCAGGAGGCCAGGAGAGAAGGGAGATCCCGTAGGAATGAGTATGAAGACAGGGATGTAGAGGGAAGGACATACTTGCAGTTTTCCCAATTTCCTAGTGCTGAGAGAAGTATAAGAATTGACAGAATTGGGCCTATGATTCCAGATAGGGAGTCTGTCCTCTATTTTGTGGAAGGGGTGCCCAGGTCCATGACCTCTAACTGCTGGATTTAGAGCCTGAGAGTTCTGGCTGAGTGTGAGATAGCTATGAGGCTGTCTGACCTAATGGAACCTGAGAAGTCAGCCTTCCTAGGTGCTTGGAGAGCCACCCCAACTGCAGGGTGAGAAAGAGACAGGGAGAGAAAGGAGGCTTACATACCTTCCAGTCTCAGCTGAAGAAGAGCTGTAGTTCCTTGTTTCTTCTTTGAGACTTATCAGATAAGCCTCAAGCATTCCCATCCTCCCAGGAATTTTGAGCTGCATGTACTAGAAAATGAAACCTCAAAAACAGGGTGCAGGGACCCCCCAAAGAAAACCAACCTCAAAGGCCTACAGGGCATGAAGACCCTGAAATGGGGCACAGGGACCCCCAAAGAAAACCAGGCATGAAGGCCCACCTACCCGCCTCCCCAGTGTCCCACAGGGGAGGTGAAAGAACAACATAGGTTAAACCAGGGTTCAGGGGGAATAGAAGTCTGCTCAAGCAGAGCAAGGTGCCTTTTTTGGAGACCAAATTTCTTTTCTTTTTTTTTTGCTAGGCAATGGGGTTAAGTGACTTGCCCAAGGTCACACATCTAGTAAGTGTTATGTGTCTGAGGTCGAATTTGAACTCAGGTCCTCCCGAATCTGGGGCCGGTGCTCTGTCCACTGTGCCACCTAGCTGCCCGATCAAATTTCTTACTAAGCGTGTCTTGTTTAGAAATCCCTTTTACAAATCATTTTTCTAGATTACAATGAGGTCAGTCTGTGTTACAATGGAATACTAGGCGCTTTTCTTTAAGATCTCTTTCCCCGAATTTCCCATCCTAACAGTCTCCTAGCAGCCTCTCCCTTGTCTTAGCGTCCCAAGACACTGGACAGGAAAAATATGTGACTGACCCAGTACAAGGGCATCCCTTTATAGGGGAGTCAACAATCCGACCAACCGCCCAGAGGTCAGTGGTGCGTCAGATGCCGCTGGCACTCCAGGGGTCTCTTACCTAGGGAGACAGTAGGAGCAGAAAACATCTGGGGAAGAGAACAAAGAAAAGGGCGCTTACCTGTTATCTCAGTGGCCAGGAGATCAGCAGAGTCCAATTAATATTTGGATTCCTGGGTTTTGACACCATTTTATGTTGAGATTTAGAGTTGGGAGAGCAGGTTCAGGTGTGAAAGAATTCACTTAGACCTTCTCTGTCAGTACTGGGAGCTTTATTGATGCAAAAGCAGCGGGCTAGCCCTGGAAAGAGGGCAACTTAAAGAGGGACGGGGACAGTTTTATAAGGACAGGATGAGGAAGATGGTTGCTTACGAGATAGTTTTAGAAGTTTTATGGGGCATCCTCAGAGAAAGAACTGATGGTGTCTGAATACAAATTGAAACATACTTTTTTTAACTTATTTTTCTTGAGGTTTTTTTTGTCTGTGTTTTCTTTTACAACATGACTCATACGTATATATTTTGCATGACTGCACATGTACAACCTATATCACATTACTTGCCTTCTCAATGTGGGGGGAGGGAAGGGAGAGAATTTGGAACTCAAAGTTTTAAAAATGAATGTCAAAAATTGTTTTTACATGTAACTGGGGAAAAATAAAATACTAAATTAAAAAAAGTTTTATGGGGATTAAAAATTAGAGACAGGTCAAGAAAGGATTTTATGACATAGGATGAGGGAGACAAGGGAATTCTTTATGGTTTGCAGGGCATGAGGGCTCAGGTTAAACTTTTTTTGGGGGGGCAGTTGGGGTTAAGTGACTCCCCCAGGGTTATAAAGCTAGTAAGTGTCAAGTGTTTGGTCTGAGACTGGATTTGAACTCAGGTCCTTCTGACTTCATGGCTGGTGCTCTATCCAAGCACAGGTTAAAAATTAAAGGACAGGGGGAACATAAGCTAAGGGACATAAAAGCAATTCTTTTGGTACCAGTTCAAGATAAGAGTGAAAGGACGTTAAGATGCCTTTCAAGTTACAGAATAAACTGGGGTTTCACAAAGTACTGGAAAAGCAATTTTAATATTCTCTTAACCGTTAGGGCACTATATGTCTTCTACTTCACCAGGCCTCCCGGAGGAAGGAGAGGGAGAGACTGAGCAGGGACCACAGCCAGGCTTCCGTGGCTCACGGTCAGACCTGCATTTTAGAAAAATCACTTTGGTGGCTGAGTGGAGGATGGCCTGGGGTGGAGAGAGATTTGAGACAGGGACACCCCCCCCCCATGGGTACTTGCCATAGTCTAGGAGTGAGGTGATGATGGGAGCCTGCTCTAGGCCAGTGACAGGGTCAGAGGAGAGAAGGGAGGAAGGGACAGTGCCCCAAATGACAGCCCACCTCTTTGGTTTTTTTTCCTTTTTTTTTCAAACTAGGCAATGGGGTTAAGTGACTTGCCCAGGATCACACAGCTAATATTATGTGTCTGAGGCTGGATTTGAACTCAGGTACTCCTGACTTCAGGACCGGTGCTCTATCCATTGCGCCACCTAACTGCCCCCAGCCCACCTCTTTGGAGGCTGTTATCCGCAATCTCACCTAGCCCTAGCTGAGCTGCCTAAGAAAAGTCTCATGAGGCAACAAGGTCACAAACCAGGCACAGAGGAACCAGATAACAGTGATGGGAAACCTCAGTTATCCAGATACCCACTGGAGCTCTCAATCTAAGGTTATTGACTTGCCTCCATGATCCTTTTGTCCTTCAAAAGGTGACAGGGCCAGCAAGGGGAATCTCATTGTGATCTGATTCTTACTAACAGGACGGGGAAATGGCATCTGACCTGCACAACAGGTTTTGGGAGAGCAGATTGCAGAAGGGTCAGAGGAACAGACTTCCCAAGGAAAGGCAGCCCAGCAGGGATGGGAGACCCCTGAAATAATCAAATTCTGAGGAAACAAAGAGAAACAATTCAAATGGGGAGGAAAAATGAGATTTACCTGAAAAGGCCAATGTGTGGTTGCATAGGGAACTCATTAACCAATTTAGGTTTTTAAAAGAAAGGTACATGGGGGCAGCTAGGTGGCACACTGGATAGAGCACTGGCCCTGAAGTCAGGAGGACCTGAGTTCAAATCCGACCTCAGACCAAACAGTTGACACTTACTAGCTGTGTGACCCTGGGTGAGTCACTTAACCCCAAATGCCTAAAAAAAGGTAAAAAAAAAAAGAAATGTACAGAAGTTGGAAACAAAGCCAGGTAACAAAAGATGAGTGGAGGAATGAAAGAATGAATGAACTAATGAATGGGAAAAATGAATGGATAGAAGGATAAAGGAATGAGTGAATGAATGAATAAATAAATGAAGCATTGAGTAAATTAAATATATAATATCTACTAAGAACAGTGCTAAGTGGTGAGGATGCAACAGAAAAGCAAGATGGTCCCTGTTCTCAAAGAGTGCCCATTCTAACTGGAGGTGGAGAGACAACCTCCCCCCTCCTCACATACACACATCTATGAAGTTTCAGCTTTAAGTCCTGTGGAAAGTCCCCATGGTCCTTAGGGGCTCAGTAGAAAGGCAGATTTCTTTAGCATCTTCTGTGTCACTTCCTTTGTTAAAGCCACAGTCATTTTTGATGTTGAATCACTGTATCAGTACCGAGAACTTCTTGAGATTTTCAGTTGCTGTGGCTGCTGAAGAGCTGGGGATCTGTAGCACCAACAGAAGCTGTTCTTATCTCCAAAAAGGCTGCTTCCCTGGACAATGACCGCTGGTGGGGGGTGAGCTTGGTTGGAAACGGGGTAATCCGGGAGGTACTGCTGTTCCCAGGGCTCTTTATATCAGGGTCTGAGGGGAGGTGGCAATTAAGGTGGTGGCAGGGTTTAGAAAGTGTGGAATATGCCTCTTGTCTCACCTTTAGAGCACCTTCCGCTAGGCTGACTTTTTTCCACAAGTGGTGGCATTTGGTGAGCCATTGGTATCATTGCTGCTGGGTATAGCAGACCCCTTTTCTGCAGTGGGAGTTGTTCCCCGGGTGATGACTTGGGGGGTTAGTGGTCTGGAGAGCTCAACACTGCTGTTTTGGGGGTTTGGGGATTTCCTTGCCCATCAGAAGCAGTTGGTCAGTGACAAATCACTTTTCTGGTTTTTGGAGACTTCCCTGGAGTTTTATCCCCAGAAAGTATAATGATTAAGAGGGAGAAAACCCAAACCTCCCCTCTTTGGGAAAATACCCCCTCCATGACATTGGGTCCTCGTGAGCCCCTTGTGGAAGGAAAAGAATCTTAGGCCACCAGTCACACTTATGATTGCATCAGCCATCACAGATGAGGCCAGAGGAAGGGGAAAAAAATCCCCTCAGCAACACTTACTTGCTGTGCTCCTCTAACCTCACAGGGTCTGCCCCCTTCCTGGTTCTGTGGCTTCAGTCTTCTGAAGAGGAAGCCGCCCTCAGAGAGCACATCCTCCCTGTCTTCTTTCCACAGGATGTCAGATCTAGAGAGGAAGATGGTTGAGGACAACCTTGTCGAGACCTTTAAAAAGAATAAATTGGAAATATCCAAGGCCATAAATACCCCTTCTCCTTTCCTGGAGATACTGCGAGACCACTCTGTTATCTCTGAGGAAATGTACCAAGTGAGTACCCTCCACCACCTGGCTCATGGCACTGTCCACTACCACATCAAACTTACACATTCAATCAATAAACCAATGTTTATTAAGTGCCTACTGTGTGCCAGGCACTATGACAAGTGCTAGGGATGGATGGAAATACAAAGAATGAAATGATCCCTACTTGACATTTTGATGGGGGAGACCAGAAGTATATATAAAACTATGGGTAGTAGAAGTATACTAAGTGAATAAATACAAACACATATCAGGTGGTTTGGGAGGGAGGGCACTGGCAATTGAGAGGGTATGAGGAAAAGCTTCATGAAAGAGGCAGTGGTTGGGCCCTGCAATCATCTCCTCTCTCTCTCTCCCTCCCCCTTTTCCTCTCCCTCTCTTTCCTCCCCTCTTCAATCCCCTCCCCCTCTCTTTCTCTCTGTCTCTTTCTTTCTCTCCCCCTCCTCCACACACATCCAATCTGTTGCCAAGTCTTTGGATTCCACCTCCTAAACATCTCCCTCCTCTGCACTCACACAGGCACCAACCTGGTTCAGGTCCTCTTCACCTCAAGCCTGAACTACTGCAGAACGTTCCTAGTTGATCTCCTTGCCCCACTGACTGTGAAAACAAAGTAAACAGGAACTGTGGGGAGAGAAGGCAGGAATCTCTGGTAATAATTGCTACAAAGTGAGAGGCTCCTTCATAGCAATATAAGCCAGCATTTGCAGAACACTGAAGGTTTGCCCAGCACTTTCCATATGTTGCCTTCGTTGAGCCTCCCAAAAGTCCTAGAAGAAGTGGCTATTATTATCCCCTTTTTATGAATGAGGTGACTGAGGCTGAGAAAGATTGAGTGACTTGCCCAGAGTCACACAGGTCATAAGGCTCTGAGACAGGATTGGAGTGACTCCAAGGATCTTTCCACTATCCTAAGGTGTAGTAAGAGGGGAATCCAGATATGAGAGGGGTGGTCAGGGAAAGAGGTCCAGAGCTTCCCAACCACCACTGGCTTGAAAGAGAGGAGGAGGGAAGAGTTCAAAATGATCCCAAGCATGGAAGCTGAGGATAGTCTCAAGATTCTACACCATGGTGGGAAGTCCCTTTCTGGAACCACAGAATGATCTGATAACCATGACAGTAACTCTCTCTTCTCAACAATTCTTAGTGTGCTCAAAAGAAGTACCAAAAATTGGTGCCTATATGCAAGGGGTCCATATGTACATACAGCATCCTCATGCAGCTGGAGAAGAAATTCAGCTCCAAGATCCTGGCAGCCTTGTTTCATCCCACCAACCTGCAGGAATACCCACTACTAGTCCAAATCCAAAAGCAATTCAGAGATGGTAAGGGGAACCTGGAACCAGGGGGGATGTTGGGAGAGGAGCTCCTATGGGTTCAGGGAGACAGAAAGAGACATCTTCTATTGTCTCCCACTGGCATTCTCAGGGCATAGATGATTGGGTCTGGCTCTGTTGGAGGACTTCTGCACAGGAGTGTCCTTTCCTATGGTCACAAGGAGAGGTGTCTGCTCCTGTCTCCCACTGGCATTTCCAGGCTGGTCGCTCTGGGGGACTCCCAACTACCACACAAAGGAGCTGGCCCATCTTATGGTTGCAGGCACCTCAGCAGCTCCATCCATAGCTGCATCTAGGGCCTAGACAGTGGGCTCTGAAAAAGATGTGAAGAGTCAGGGAAGTGTCTGTCCCTCTGCATCTGCCTCTTCTCTGACTGAAGCTTTCTTTTTGCTCTCTAGAGCCTCTAGATGAATCAACATCAGAAGTCAACATGGGGTCTCCTCTCCAGAGAAGCAGCCTGGATGAGAGTGCATGGATTATAAGCACTCCTCAAAGCTCTGTCCAAGGTACTCAGCTTTTAGGGGACCTCCCACCTCTGCTCAGGACTCTCTTACACAAATCTTTCTTGATTTACCCACTCTTCTCCTTTGTTGTCTCTCCCTATTGTGCCCAGGTCTCCCCTTTGCCCCTCATGCCACATCATGTCTTCATCCTATCCACCTGTGCATATCACATCCCCCCATTGGCTGTGTGTCAGGTCCCTGAGGGCAGTCCCTTTAGCTTTTCATCTTTGTAATCATTATAATATCACAGGAAGTCAAATGGATAATTCGGATTACATAAAATTAAAACATTTTTGCACAAACAAAATCAACGCAGCCAAAATTAGAAGGAAAGCAGGAAACTGGGGGAAATTTTTTATAACAAGATTCTCTGATAAAGGTCTCATTTCTCAAATATATAGGGAACTGAGACAAATTTATAGAAATAAGAGCCATTCCTCAGTTGATAAATGGTAAAGGGATACAAATAGGCAGTTTTCAGAAGTAATCAAAGCTATCATATGTTATACGTAACAACTGAAACAGAAATAACAGCTTACATTTTTGAGGCACTTTAAGGTTTGAAGAATACTTACAGATATTGTTTCAACTGAGCCAGAACAGATAAGGAAACTGAGCAATCTTAGAGATGTGAATTGCCTTGCCCAGGATCACACAGCAAGGATGCTTCTGACATAGGAGTGCTGATTCTGAAATCAGAGCATCTAAATAAATGAGTTTATTCTCCTAAAATTCTTAAGTGGGCCCATGAGCCCAGGCTGATTCTCACAGTTGTTCTCAGACCATCAATGTAGGGTTGTGGGGGGAGACAGTTATATGGAAAAAATTCCGTGGTTTCAAAATAACCAGTGATTTTATTCAATCACTTTTGTTTTCTTTTTAAAAATTAATTTATTTTGATTTATCAACAATCACTTCCATATGCAAATCACTTTTGTTTTCAAAGAAGCGTCAAGGAATAAATACCTTGTCTCTATAGTAGAATTATACCCTGTATAGGACAATCTTGCCCATATTTGTCTCAAAAATTAAGCCATCCATGCCTTCCCGATGGCTGGTTACCCAGAAAGTCATGAGAGGCTGAATTCCCTAACAAATCTAGGCTCACTGAGTCAACAGGTAGGCACAGTAGATAAAGTGCCAGGCTTGAAGTCAGGAAGACCTGAGTTCAAATCTGGCCTCAGACACTCACTAGCTGCGTGTCATTGAGCAAGTCACAACCTCTGTCTGCCTTAGTTTCCTCATCTATATATTAGAAATTATGATAGCATTTGTCTCCTGGGGTTGTTATGAACATCAATGGGATAATGCTTCTAAAGAACTTAGTTAGCATAGAGCCTGGCACACAGTAAGAGCTATATAAATGTTAGCTATTATTATTCCTGGGAAAATCCTATAACTGGCATATTAAAGAGATGGTTTGTGAAGAGCTAGAAAAGGAAGAAGTTCAGAAATCTCTGAGATAGGTTTCATGTCCAAGATATATTGTGAACTAGCAAAAATATGAGACCACGAGTCACTTCCCAACGAATGAGTATTCCAGGGATATGAATAAGCATTTCTCAAAATAGCATGGCAAACTATGAACAACCACAATGGAAAAAATGCTCCAAAATATTAAAAATAAGAGAAATACAAATCAAAACAACTCTGAGGTTTTATCTGGAAAATTCAATTTATTAAACATTTATTAAGCACCTACTATGTGCCAGGCACTGTGCCTTAGAATACTGAAAATACAAGTAAAAAAAGAAAAACAGTCCCTGCCAACAAGGAGCTCACAATTTAAGGAGTAAGACAACACACGCAAGTAAATTGAAAAAGGTAGGGAGCCAAGAGAGACCCAATAAAAGGGAACCAAGTTGAGCTGCTGATAGAAAATGGACAGTTATCAGAAAAGTTCTAAAAGGTTCTGAAAAGCCTCTATTCTGAAAGGCCTCTATAAAGAAATGCTTTGGGAGAAATGTACCTGCTCTCCCCTTGAGAGTCCTCCAATCAGAAGGGAGAGGCAACTGAAGGAACTGAGAAGGTGTTAAGGAGGGGAAGCTAGAGCCAGGGGGGATGTTGGGAGGGGCGCTCCCATGGGTTCAGGGGAACAGGAAGAGACATCTTCTATTGTCTCCCACTGGCATTCTCAGTCTGGATGTGGCTGTCCTGGAGGACTTCTGCACAGGAGTTGTCCTTTCCTTTGGGCACAAGGAGAGGTATCTGCTCCTGTCTCCCACTGGCATTTCCAGGGCTGGCTGCTCTGGAGGACTCCCAACTACCACACAAAGGAGCTGACCTATCTTATGGCTGCAGGCACCTGAGCAGCTCCATCCATAGCTGCATCTAGGGCCTAGACAGTGGGCTCTGAAAAAGATGTGAAGAGTCAGGGAAGTGTCTGTCCCTCTGCATCTGCCTCTTCTCTGACTGAAGCTTTCTTTTGCTCTCTAGAGCCTCTAGATGAATCAACATCAGAAGCCAATATGGGGTCTCCTCTCCAGAGAAGCAGCCTGGATGAGAGTGCATGGATTGTAAGCACTCCTCAAAGCTCTGTCCAAGGTACTCAGCTTTTAGGGGACCTCCCACCTCTGCTCAGGACTCTCTTACACAAATCCTTCTTGTCTTACCCACTCTTCTCCCTTGTCTTCTCCCTCTATTGTGCCCAGGTCTCACCTTTGCCCTTCATGCCACATCATGCCTTCCTCCTATCCACCTGTGCATGTCACATCCCCCCATTCTCTGTGTGTCAGGTCCCTGAGGGCAGTCCTTTTAGTTTTTCATCTTTGTCATCAATGCTGTATCACAGGAAGTCAAATGGACAATTTGGATTACATGAAATTAAAATATTATTGCACAAACAAAAATCAATGCAGCCAAAATTAGAAGGAAAGCAGGAAACTGGAGGGAAAATTTTAAAACAAGGTTCTCTGATAAAAGTCTCATTTCTCAAATATATAGGGAACTGAACCAAATTTATAAAAATAAGAGTCATTCCACAGTTGATAAATGGTAACGGGATACTAATTGGTAGTTTTCAGAAGAAATCAAAGCTATCATTAATTATATGTAATAACTGCAAAAGAAATAACAGCTAACATTTTTGAGGCACTTTAAGGTTTGAAGAGTACTTACACATATTGTTTCATCTGAGCCAGAACACATAGGGAAACTGAGGAATCTTAGAGATGTGAATTGACTTGCCCAGGGTCACACAGCAAGGATGCTTCTGACATCAGAGTGCTGATTCTGAAGTTACAGAGTCTGAACAAATGAGTTTATTTTCCTAATATCCCTAAGTGGGCCAATGGGCCCAGGCTGATTTTCACAGATGTTCCAAGACCATCAATGTAGGCTGAGGGTTGTGGGGGGAGACAGGTATATGGAAAAAATTGAATGGTTTCAAAACAACCAGTAATTTTATTTAATCCCTTTTGTTTCAAAGAAGCCTCATGGAAAAAATACCTTGTATGTATGGTAGGGTTATACCCTGTGTAGGATAATCTTGCACATATTTGTCTCAAAAATTAGGCCATGCATGCCTTCCCCATGGCTAGTGATCCAGAAATTCATGAGAGGCTGAATTCTCTAGCAAATCCATTAAGAAAATTATGAAGATCAATGGGATAATTCTTGTAAAACACTTCACATAGTGCCTGGCACACAGTAAGAGCTCTATAAATGTTAGCTATTATTATTACTGAGAAAATCCTATAACTGGTTCATTAAAGTGATGGTTTGCGAATAACTGGAAAAGGAAGCAGTTCAGAAATCTCTGTGATGGGTTTCATATCTAAGATATATTGTGAACTAGCAAAAATATAAGGCCACAAGTCATTTCCCAATGAATGAGTATTCCAAGGATACAAAAAAGCATTTCTCAAAATAGAATGGCAAATTATTAACAACCATAATGAAAAAAATGCTCCAAAATATTAAAAATAAGAGAAATACAAATCAAAACAACTCTGAGGTTTCATCTGGAAAAATGAAGTTAATAAACTTTTATTAAGCACCTACTCTGTGCCAGGCACTGTGCTTCAGCACACTGAAAATACAACTGAAAAAAGAAAAATAGTCCCTGCCAACCAGGAGTTCACCCTCTAAGAGAGGAAGACAACACACACAAGTAAACTGAAAAAGGTAGGGAGCCAGGGGAGACCCAGTAAGAAGGAACCAAGTTGTGATGCTGATGGAAAATGGAGAATTACTTGAAAAGTTCTGAAAGTTTCTGAAAAGCTTCTATTCTGAAAGACCTCTATAAAGAATTGCTTTGGGGGGATGGAGCCAAGATGGCAGAGTAAAAGCAGTGACTTGCTTGAGCTCTCCCCCAAACCACTCCAAATACTCATAAAAAAATGGCTCTACACAAATTCTGAAGCAGCAGAACCCACAAAAAGACAGAGTGAAACAAATTTCCAGTCCAAGACAACCTGGATGATTGATCGGAAAGGTATACCGCTCGGGCTAGGAGCACAGCACAGCATGGCATGGGTGCGCAGGCCACAGCGAACCTGGAGCAGGCCTCAGAGGACTGAATCTTGGGCAGCTGTGGAGGTTTCCAGACTCCTCAGTCCACAAATGCCAAAGACAACTTAGAAGGTCAGTGGGAAAAGTCTGTTTCTGCGGTGCTGAGACAGGAAGGCAGGATCTCAGCTCAATTCCCCAAAAGCCTGGCCCGGGGGTGGGGAGGAGGCAGCTGCTTCCCAAGCTTCAGGACCATAGACTGTGGGGGAATCCAGTGGCTGATCAGAGAGGTTGTTCAGGGATCTCTTTGCCAGTGCTGAGTCAGGAATCTCTTGCTTTGCCTGTGTTTGGATCTGGGCCACAGATCTGGGCAGTGGTGCTGGGGTGAGGAGGAGCCTGGCTTAGTGAAGCTTGTAGTGGCTGTGGAGAGAAACCCCTCCTCACAGTTACAGGACAGAAAGGAGTACTTGTGGTCACAGGCCAGGAAAGGAGTAAACACCTAGCCCCTTATCATACCACCTTGGAAGAACTGAAAATTTACAGGTCCCTACAAGTATCTCTGAAAACAGCTGTACAAACCCCCTGAAGCTTGGGACAATACATTCTCCACATTGGAAGCAGATTTGTACCTTAACAAAGAGTTTAAACTCAAGTAATTGGCCAAGATCATGAGCAAGCAGCAAAAAAGTCAGACTATATTTTCTTACTTTGGTGAAAAAGAAGATCAAAATATACAACCAGAAGAAGACAACAAAGTCAAAGCTCCTACATCCAAAGCCTCCAAGAAAAATATGAATCAGTCCCAGGCCTTGGAAGAGCTCAAAAGGGATTTTGAGAAGCAAGTAAGGGAAGTAGAGGAAAAACTGGGAAGAGAAATGAGAGTTTTGCAAGAAAATCACAAAAACAAGTCAACATCTTGCTAAAGGAGACCCAAAAAATACTGAAGAAAATAACACCTTAAAAAATAGCCTAACCCAAATGGCAAAAGAGGTCCAAAAAGCCAATGAGGAGAAGAATGCCTAAAAGCAAAATTGGCCAAATGGAAAAGGAAGTCCAAAAGCTTACTGAAGAAAATACTTCCTTAAAAATTAGAATAGAGCAATTGGAAGCTAGTGACTTATGAGAAATCAAGACACTGTAAAACAAATCCAAAAGAATGAAAAATTAGAAAACAATGTGAAATATCTCATTGGAAAAACAACTGACCTGGAAAATAGATCCAGGAGAGAGAATTTAAAAATTATTGGACTATCTGAAAGCCATGATCAAAAAAAGAGCCTAGACATCATCTTTCAAGAAATTATCAAGGAAAACTGCCCTGATATATTAGAACCAGAGGGCAAAATAGAAATTGAAAGAATCCACAGATCTCCTCCTGAAAGAGATCCCCAAAGGAAAACTCCTAGGAATGTATAGCCAAATTCCAGAGTTCCCAGGTCAAGGAGAAAATATTACAAGCTGCCAGAAGGAAACAATTCAAGTACTGTGGAAACACAATCAGGATAACACAAGATTTAGCAGCTTCTACATTAAAGGACCGCAGGGCATGGAATATAATATTCCGGAGGGCAAAGGAGATAGGATTACAACCAAGAATCACCTACCCAGCAAAACTGAGTATAATCCTTCAGGGGAAAAAATGGTCATTCAGTGAAATAGAGGACTTTCAAGAATTCTTGATGAAAAGACCAGAGCTGAATAGAAAATTTGACTTTCAAATACAGGACTCAAGTGGAACATGAAGAGGTAAACAGGAAAGAGAAATCATAAGAGACTTATTAAGATTGAACTGTTTACATTCCTGCATGGAAAGATGATATTTATAACTCATGAGACCTTTGTCAGTATTAGGGTAGTTGGAGGAAAAAATTATATGATATGTATATATAGATAGATAGAGGGCACAGGGAGTTGAAGATTAAGGGGTCATATCTGGAGAATAAAATTAAGGGATGAGAGAGGATTATCTCAGAGAAGAAGAAATGGAGAGGTAGATGTGGTAAATTATCTCACGAAAAGAAACAGAAAAGTCTCTTACAGTGGAGGGGAAATGGGGGAAGGTGAGATGGAATGAGTGAATCTTATTCTCATATGATTTAGCTTAAGGAGGGAATAACATACACATTCAATTGGGTAAAGAATCTGTCTTACCCTACAGGAAAATAGGGGGAGAAGGGGACAAGAGAGCAGGGGATGATAGAGAGGAGGGCAGATTGGAAAGGGGTAATCAGAAGCAAATACTTCTGAGGAGGACAGGGTCAAAAGAAAGAAAGAATAAATGGGAGGGCAGGATAGGATTAAGGGAAATAGAGTTAGTTTTTCACAACATGTCTACTATGGATATGTTTTGCATAACTGCACATGTACAACCTATATTAAGTTGCTTGCCTTTTTAATGAGGGTGGGTGGGGAGGGAGGAAGGAGAAAATTTGAAACCTAAAGTTTTAAAACATGTTTAAAAAAAATGTTTTCACATGCACTGGGAAATAAGAAATACAGGAAATGGGGTACAGAAGTCTATCCTGCCCTACAGGAAAATAGAAGGGGAAGGGGATAAGAGAAGGGGAGAGAGATAGAAGAGAGGACAGACTAAGGGAAGGGATATTCAGAATGCATGCCATCTTGGGGTGGGGGAGGGGTGATATGGGGTGAAAATTTGGAAGTCAGAAACTCGTACAAGTGAATGTTGAAAACTAAAAATACATAAATTTATATTTTAAAAAATTGCTTTGGGAGAAATGTACCTGCTCTATACTTGAATGTCCTCCAATCAGGAGGGAGAGGCAACTGAAGGAATTGAAAAAGTGTTAAGGAGGGGAACCTAGAGCAAGGGGAGATGTTGGGAGGGGAGCTCCTTTGGGTTTAGGGAGACAGGAGGAGACATCTTCTATTATCTCCCACTCCATTCTCAGGACGTAGATGATTGAATCTGACTGTCCTGGAGAACTTCTGCACAAGAGTTGTGTCTTCCTATGGGTACAAGGAAAGGTATCTGCTCCTGTCTCCCACTGGCATTTCCAGGGCTGGCTGCTCTGGAGGACTCCCAACTACCACACAAAGGAGCTGGCCCATCTTATGGTTGCAGGCACCTGAGCAGCTCCATCTATCCATAGCTGCATCTAGGGCCTAGACAGGGGGCTCTGAAAAAGATGTGAAGAGTCAGGGAGGTGTCTGTCCCTCTGCATCTGCCTCTTCTCTGACTGAAGCTTTCTTTTGCTGTCTAGTCCCTCTAGATCAATCAACACCTGAATCCAATGTGAGTTCTCCCGTCCAGAGAAGCAGCCTTGATGAGAGTATATCTGCCAGAGATGTGCAAGGTACTTGGCTTTTAGGAGACCTCCCGCCTCTGCTCAGGACTCTCTTTCACAAACCCTTATTGTTTTACCCACTCCTCTACCTTTTCTTCTCTCCCTTTTGCGCCCAGATCTCACTTTTGCCCCTCATGCCACATCATGCCTTCCTCCTATCTCCTGTGCATATCACATCCCCTGAGACTGTGTGTCAGGTCCCTGAGGGAAGTCCCTTTAGTTTTTCATCTTTGTAATCAATGCTATATGACAGGAAGTAAAATGGACAATTTGTATGATGTGAAGTTGAAATATTTTTTGCACAAACAAAATCAATTCAGCCAACATTAGAAGGAAAGCAGGAAACTGGGGGCAAATTTTTAAAGCAAGGCTCTCTGATAAAAGTCTCATTTCTCGTATATGTAGGGAACTGAGCCAAATTTATAAAAATAAGAGACATTCCCCAGTTGAAAAACGGTAAAGGTATATGAATAGACTGTTTTCCAAAGTAATCAAAGCTATCATTAGTTATGTGTAACAACTGCAGCAGACATAACAGCTCACATTTTTGTGATGCTTTAAGGTTTGAAGAGCACTTACAGATATTGTTTCATCTGAGTCAGAACAGATAAGGAAACTGAGGAATCTTAGAGATATAAATTGCCTTACCGAGGGTCACACAGCAAGGATGCTTCTGACAAGGAGTGCTGATGATGAAGTCACAGCATCTAAATAAATGAGTTTATTCTCCTAACATCCCTAAGTGGCCCAATGGACCTAGGCTAATTCTCACAGAGCTTCCAAGACCATCACTGTAGGCTGAGGGTTGTGAGGGGAGACAGTTATATGGAAAACAATGAATGGTTTCAAAAGAACCAGTAATCTTATTCAATCACTTCTGTTTTCAAAGAAGCCTCATGGCATAAATACCTTGTGTCTATGGTAGGATTATACCCTGTGTAGCACAATCTTGCACATATTTGTCTCAAAAATTAGGCCATGCATAACTTCCCCATGGCTAGTGACCCAGAAAGTCAAGACAGGCTGAATTCCCAAGCAAATCCAGGCCCAGGGAGCTCAACAGCAAGGCACAGTAGATAAAGTGCCAGGCTTGGAGTCAGGAGGATTTGAGTTCAAATCTGGCCTCAGACACTCATTAGAAATGTGTCACTGGGCAAGCCACAACCTCTGTTTGCCTTAGTTTCCTCATCTATAAATGGAAATTGTAATAACATTTGTCTCCTGGGGGTGCTATGAAGATCAATAGGATAATTCTTGTAAAGTACTTCGGATAGAGCCTGACACATATTAAGAGCTATATAAATGTTAGCTATTATTATTCCTGGGAAAATCCTATAACTGGCTCATTAAAGAGATGGTTTGTGAATAACAAGGAAAGGAAGCAGTTAAGAAATCTCTGAGATCGGTTCCATATCCTAGATATATTGTGAACTAGCAAAAATATAAGACCAATGAATTTCCCAATGAATTAGTAATCCAAGGATATGAATAAGTATTTCCCAAAATAGAATGGCAAATTAGTAACAATCATAATGAAAAAATGCTCCAAAATATTAACAATAAGAGAAATACAAATGAAAACAACTCGGAAGTTTCATCTGGAAAATTCAATTTATTAAACTTTTATTAAGCACCTACTATGTGCCAGGCACTGTGCCTCAGCACACAGAAAATACAAGTAAGAAAAGAAAAATAGGCCCTGCCAACAAGGAGCTCACCATCTAAGAGAGGAAGACAACACACAAAGTAAACTGAAAAAGGTAGGGAACCAGGGGAGACCCAGTAAGAGGGAACCAAGTTGAGCTGCTGATGGAAAATGGAAAGTTACTTGAAAAGTTCTGAAAGGTTCTGAAAAGTCTCTATTCTGAAAGGCCTCTATAAAGAAATGCTTTGGGAGAAATGTACCTGCTCTCCCCTTGAGAGTCCTCCAATCAGAAGGGAGAGGCAACTGAAGGAACTGAGCACGTGTTAAGGAGGGGTACGTAGAGCCAGGGGGGATGTTGGGAGGGGAGCTCCTATGGATTCAGGGAGGCAGGAAGAGACATCCTCTATTGTCTCGCGCTGGCATTCTCAGGGCATAGATGACTGGGTCTGGCTGTCCTGGAGGACTTCTGCACAGGAGCTGTCCTTTCCTATGGGCACAAGGAGCGCTGTCTGCTCCTGTCTCCCACTGGCATTTCCAGGGCTGGCTGCTCTTGGGGACTCCCAACTACCACACAAAGGAACTGGCCCATCTTATGGTTGCAGGCACCTGAGCAGCTCCATTCATAGATGCATCTAAGCCTAGACATGGGGCTCTGAAAAAGATGTGAAGAGTCAGGGAGGTGTCTGTCCCTCTGCATCTGCCTCTTCTCTGACTGAAGCTTTCTTTTGCTGTCTAGTTCCTCTAGATCAATCAACACCTGAATCCAATGTGGGGTCTCCTGTCCAGAGAAGCAGCTTTGATGAGAGTATATCTTTCAGCGATGTCCAAGGTACTTTGGCTTTTTAGGGACCTCCTGCCTTTGCTCAGGCCTCTCTTACACAAATCCTTCTTGTCTTCCTCCCTCTTCTCCCTTGTTGTCTCTCCCTATTGTGCCCAGGTCTCCCCTTTGCCCCTCATGCCACATCATGCCTTCCTCCTATCCACTTGTGCATATCACGTTGCCCCACTGGCTGTGTGTCAGGTCCCTGAGGGCAGTCCCTTTAGTTTTTCATCTTTGTAATCAGTGCTATATGACAGGAAGTAAAATGGACAGTTTGGATTACATGAAATTGAAATATTTTTGCACAAACAAAATCAATGCAGCCAAAATTAGAGGGAAAGCAGGAAAGTGGGGGGAAATTTTTATAGCAAAGTTTTCTGATAAAAGTCTCATTTCTCAAATATGTAGGAACTGAGCCAAATTTATAAAAGTAAGAGCCATTCCCCAGTTGATAAATGGTAGAGGGATATGAATAGGCAGTTTTCAGAAGTAATCAAAGCTATCACTAGTTATATGAAATAACTGCAAAAGAAATAACAGCTTACATTTCTGTGGTGCTTTAATGGTTGAAGAGTACTTACAGATATTGTTTCACCTGAGCCAGAACAGATACGGAAACTGAGGAATGTTAGAGATGTGAATTGACTTGCCCAGGGTCACACAGAAAGGATGCTTCTGACATAGGAGTGCTGATGATGAAGTCACAGCATCTAAATAAATGAGTTTATTCTCCTAACATCCCTAAGTGGCCCAATGGACCTAGGCTAATTCTCACAGAGCTTCCAAGACCATCACTGTAGGCTGAGGGTTGTGAGGGGAGACAGTTATATGGAAAAAAATGAATGGTTTCAAAAGAACCAGTAATGTTATTCAATCATTTTTGTTTTCAAAGAAGCCTCTGGCATAAATACATTGTCTCTATGGTAGGATTGTGCCCTGTGTAGCACAGTCTTGCACATGTGTGTCTCAAAAATTAGTCCCTGCATAACTTCCCCATGGCTAGTGACCCCAGAAAGTCAAGACAGGCTGAATTCCCAAGCACATCCAGGCCCAGGGAGTTTAACAGCTAGGCCTAGTAGATAAAGTGCCAGGCTTGGAGTCAGGAAGACCTGAATTCAAATCTGGCCTCAGACACTCACTAGCTGCGTGTCACTGGGCAGGTCACAACCTCTGTCTGCCTTAGTTTCCTCATCTATAAAACAAAGAATATAATAGCATTTATCTCCTGGGGTTGTTATGAAGATCAATGGGATAATTCTTACGAAGCACTTGGTGTAGTGCCTGGCACATAGCTAGAACTATATAAATGTGAGCTATTATTATTCCTGGGAAAATCCTATAACTGGCTCATTAAAGAGATGGTTTGTGAATAACAAGGAAAGGAAGCAGTTAAGAAATCTCTAAGGTGGGTTTCATATCCAAGATATATTCTGAACTTGCAAAAATATAAGAGCTTGAATCATTTCCCCAATGAATTAGTAATCCAAGGATATGAATAAATATTTCTCAAAGTAGAATGGCAAATTAGTAACAACCATAATGAAAAAATGCTCCAGAATATTAAAAATAAGAGAAATACAAATGAAAACAACTCGGAAGTTTCATCTGGAAAATTCAATTTATTAAACTTTTATTAAGCACCTACTATGTGCCAGGCACTGTGCCTCAGCACACAGAAAATACAAGTAAGAAAAGAAAAATAGGCCCTGCCAACAAGGAGCTCACCATCTAAGAGAGGAAGACAACACACAAAGTAAACTGAAAAAGGTAGGGAACCAGGGGAGACCCAGTAAGAGGGAACCAAGTTGAGCTGCTGATGGAAAATGGAAAGTTACTTGAAAAGTTCTGAAAGGTTCTGAAAAGTCTCTATTCTGAAAGGCCTCTATAAAGAAATGCTTTGGGAGAAATGTACCTGCTCTCCCCTTGAGGGTCCTCCAATCAGAAGGCAGAGGCAACTGAAGGAACTGAGCAAGTGTTAAGGAGGGGTACGTAGAGCCAGGGGGGATGTTGGGAGGGGAGCTCCTATGGATTCAGGGAGGCAGGAAGAGACATCCTCTATTGTCTCGCACTGGCATTCTCAGGGCATAGATGACTGGGTCTGGCTGTCCTGGAGGACTTCTGCACAGGAGCTGTCCTTTCCTATGGGCACAAGGAGCGCTGTCTGCTCCTGTCTCCCACTGGCATTTCCAGGGCTGGCTGCTCTGGAGGACTCCCAACTACCACACAAAGGAGCTGGCCCATCTTATGGTTGCAGGCACCTGAGCAGCTCCATCTATCCATAGCTGCATCTAGGGCCTAGACAGGGGGCTCTGAAAAAGATGTGAAGAGTCAGGGAGGTGTCTGTCCCTCTGCATCTGCCTCTTCTCTGACTGAAGCTTTCTTTTGCTGTCTAGTCCCTCTAGATCAATCAACACCTGAATCCAATGTGAGTTCTCCCGTCCAGAGAAGCAGCCTTGATGAGAGTATATCTGCCAGAGATGTGCAAGGTACTTGGCTTTTAGGAGACCTCCCGCCTCTGCTCAGGACTCTCTTTCACAAACCCTTATTGTCTTACCCACTCCTTTACCTTGTCTTCTCTCTCTATTGTGCCCAGATCTCACTTTTGCCCCTCATGCCACATCATGCCTTCCTCCTATCTCCTGTGCATATCACATCCCCTGAGACTGTGTGTCAGGTCCCTGAGGGAAGTCCCTTTAGTTTTTCATCTTTGTAATCAATGCTATATGACAGGAAGTAAAATGGACAATTTGTATGATGTGAAGTTGAAATATTTTTTGCACAAACAAAATCAATTCAGCCAACATTAGAAGGAAAGCAGGAAACTGGGGGCAAATTTTTAAAGCAAGGCTCTCTGATAAAAGTCTCATTTCTCGTATATGTAGGGAACTGAGCCAAATTTATAAAAATAAGAGACATTCCCCAGTTGAAAAACGGTAAAGGTATATGAATAGACTGTTTTCCAAAGTAATCAAAGCTATCATTAGTTATGTGTAACAACTGCAGCAGACATAACAGCTCACATTTTTGTGATGCTTTAAGGTTTGAAGAGCACTTACAGATATTGTTTCATCTGAGTCAGAACAGATAAGGAAACTGAGGAATCTTAGAGATATAAATTGCCTTACCGAGGGTCACACAGCAAGGATGCTTCTGACAAGGAGTGCTGATGATGAAGTCACAGCATCTAAATAAATGAGTTTATTCTCCTAACATCCCTAAGTGGCCCAATGGACCTAGGCTAATTCTCACAGAGCTTCCAAGACCATCACTGTAGGCTGAGGGTTGTGAGGGGAGACAGTTATATGGAAAACAATGAATGGTTTCAAAAGAACCAGTAATCTTATTCAATCACTTCTGTTTTCAAAGAAGCCTCATGGCATAAATACCTTGTGTCTATGGTAGGATTATACCCTGTGTAGCACAATCTTGCACATATTTGTCTCAAAAATTAGGCCATGCATAACTTCCCCATGGCTAGTGACCCAGAAAGTCAAGACAGGCTGAATTCCCAAGCAAATCCAGGCCCAGGGAGCTCAACAGCAAGGCACAGTAGATAAAGTGCCAGGCTTGGAGTCAGGAGGATTTGAGTTCAAATCTGGCCTCAGACACTCATTAGAAATGTGTCACTGGGCAAGCCACAACCTCTGTTTGCCTTAGTTTCCTCATCTATAAATGGAAATTGTAATACATTTGTCTCCTGGGGGTGCTATGAAGATCAATAGGATAATTCTTGTAAAGTACTTCGGATAGAGCCTGACACATATTAAGAGCTATATAAATGTTAGCTATTATTATTCCTGGGAAAATCCTATAACTGGCTCATTAAAGAGATGGTTTGTGAATAACAAGGAAAGGAAGCAGTTAAGAAATCTCTGAGATCGGTTCCATATCCTAGATATATTGTGAACTAGCAAAAATATAAGACCAATGAATTTCCCAATGAATTAGTAATCCAAGGATATGAATAAGTATTTCCCAAAATAGAATGGCAAATTATCAACAATCATAATGAAAAAATGCTCCAAAATATTAAAAATAAGAGAAATCAAAAAACTGTGAGGTTTTATCTGGTAAATTGAAAAGTTACTTGAAAAGTTCTGAAAGTTCTGAAAAGTCTCTATTCTGAAAGGCCTCTATAAAGAAATGCTTTGGGAGAAATGTACCTGCTCTCCCCTTGAGAGTCCTCCAATCAGAAGGGAGAGGCAACTGAAGGAACTGAGCAAGTGTTAAGGAGGGGTACATAGAGCCAGGGAGGATGTTGGGAGGGGAGCTCCCATGGGTTCAGGGAGAGAGGAAGAGACATCTCCTATTGTCTCCCACTGGCATCTTCAGGCTGGATGTGGCTGTCCTGGAGGACTTCTGCACAGGAGGTATCCTTTCCTTTGGGCACAAGGAGAGGTGTCTGCTCCTGTCTCCCACTGGCATTTCCAGGGCTGGCTGCTCTGGAGGACTCCCAGCTACCACACAAAGGAGCTGGCCCATCTTATGGTTGCAGGCACCTGAGCAGCTCCATCTATCCATAGCTGCATCTAGGGCCTAGATGGGGGCTTTGAAAAAGATGTGAACAGTCAGAGAGGTGTCTGTCCCTCTGCATCTGCCTCTTCTCTGACTGAAGCTTTCTTTTGCTGTCTAGTCCCTCTAAATCAATCAACACCTGAATCCAATGTGGGGTCTCCTGTCCAGAGAAGCAGCCTTGATGAGAGTACATCTGTCAGTGATGTCCAAGGTACTTTGGATTTTTGGGGACCTCCTGCCTCTGCTCAGGCCTCTCTTACACAAATCCTTCTTCTCTTACTCCCTCTTCTCCCTTGTCTTCTCCCCCTATTGTACCAGATCTCCCCTTTGCCCCTCATGCCACATCATGCCTTCCTCCTATCACCTGTGCATATCACATCCCCGTACTGGCTGTGTGTCAGGTCCCTGAGGGCAGTTCCTTTAGTTTTTCATCTTTGTAATCAATGCTATATGACAGGAAGTAAAATGGACAGTTTGGATTACATGAAATTGAAATATTTTTGCACAAACAAAATCAATGCAGCCAAAATTAGAAGGAAAGCAGGAAACTGGATGGAAATTTTTATAGCAAAGTTTTCTGATAAAAGTCTCATTTCTCAAATATGTAGGAACTGAGCCAAATTTATAAAAGTAAGAGCCATTTCCCAGTTGATAGATGGTAAAGGGACACAAATAGGCAGTTTTCAGAAGTAATCAAAGCTATCATTAGTTATATGTAATAACTGCAAAAGAAATAACAGCTCACATTTTTGCGGTGCTTTAATGGTTGAAGAGTACTTACAGATATTGTTTCACCTGAGCCAGAACAGATATGGAAACTGAGGAATGTTGGAGATGTGAATTGACTTGCCCAGGGTCACACAGAAAGGATGCTTCTGACATAGGAGTGCTGATGATGAAGTCACAGCATCTAAATAAATGAGTTTATTCTCCTAACATCCTAAAGTGGGCCCATGGACCCAGGCTCATTCTCACAGATGCTCCAAGACCATAAATGTGGCCTGAGGGTTGTGAGGAGAAATAGTTATATGGAGAAAATTGAGTGGTTTCAAAAGAACCAGTAATTTTATTCAATCATTTTTGTTTTCAAAGAAGCCTCATGGCATAAATACCTTGTCTCTGTGGTAGGTATTTCTCTCAAACATTAGTCCATGCATAACTTCCCCGTGGCTAGTGACCCAGAAAGTCAACACAGTCTGAATTCCCAAGCACATCCAGGCCCAGGGAGTTTAACAGCTAGGCCCAGTAGATAAAGTGCCAGGCTTGGAGTCAGGAAGAGCTGAATTCAAATCTGGCCTCAGACACTCACTAACTGCGTGTCACTGGACAGGTCACACACAACCTCTGTCTGCCTTAGTTTCCTCATCTATAAAACAGAGAGTATAATAGCATTTATCTCCTGGGGTTGTTATGAAGATCAATGGGATAATTCTTACGAAGCACTTGGTGTAGTGCCTGGCACATAGCTAGAACTATATAAATGTGAGCTATTATTATTCCTGGGAAAATCCTATAACTGGCTCATTAAAGAGATGGTTTGTGAATAACAAGGAAAGGAAGCAGTTAAGAAATCTCTGAGATCGGTTCCATATCCTAGATATATTGTGAACTAGCAAAAATATAAGACCAATGAATTTCCCAATGAATTAGTAATCCAAGGATATGAATAAATATTTCTCAAAGTAGAATGGCAAATTAGTAACAACCATAATGAAAAAATGCTCCAGAATATTAAAAATAAGAGAAATACAAATGAAAACAACTCGGAAGTTTCATCTGGAAAATTCAATTTATTAAACTTTTATTAAGCACCTACTATGTGCCAGGCACTGTGCCTCAGCACACAGAAAATACAAGTAAGAAAAGAAAAATAGGCCCTGCCAACAAGGAGCTCACCATCTAAGAGAGGAAGACAACACACAAAGTAAACTGAAAAAGGTAGGGAGCCAGGAGAGACCCAGTAAGAGGGAACCAAGTTGAGCTGCTGATGGAAAATGGAAAGTTACTTGAAAAGTTCTGAAAGGTTCTGAAAAGCCTCTATTCTGAAAGGCCTCTATAAGGAAATGCTTTGGGAGAAATGTACCTGCTCTCCCCTTGAGAGTCCTCCAATCAGAAGGGAGAGGCAACTGAAGGAACTGAGCAAGTGTTAAGAAGGGGAACCTAGAGTCGGGGGGGGCGGTGTTGGGAGGGGAGCTCCTAAGGGTTCAGGGAGACAGGAAGAGACATCCTCTATTGTCTCGCACTGGCATCCTCAGGGCATAGATGACTGGGTCTGGCTGTCCTGGAGGACTCCTGCACAGGAGGTATCCTTTCCTTTGGGCACAAGGAGAGGTGTCTGCTCCTGTCTCCCACTGGCATTTCCAGGGCTGGCTGCTCTGGAGGACTCCCAGCTACCACACAAAGGAACTGGCCCATCTTATGGTTGCAGGCACCTGAGCAGCTCCATCTATCCATAGCTGCATCTAGGGCCTAGACAGGGGGCTTTGAAAAAGATGTGAAGAGTCAGGGAGGTGTCTGTCCCTCTGCATCTGCCTCTTCTCTGACTGAAGCTTTCTTTTGCTGTCTAGTCCCTCTAGATCAATCAACACCTGAATCCAATGTGGGGTCTCCTGTCCAGAGAAGCAGCCTTGATGAGAGTACATCTGTCAGTGATGTCCAAGGTACTTTGGATTTTTGGGGACCTCCTGCCTCTGCTCAGGCCTCTCTTACACAAATCCTTCTTGTCTTACTCCCTCTTCTCCCTTGTCTTCTCCCCCTATTGTACCAGGTCTCACCTTTGCCCCTCATGCCACATCATGCCTTCTTCCTATCCACCTGTGCTGTGTGTCAGGTCCCTGAGGGCAATCCCTTTAGTTTTTCATCTTTGTAATCAATGCTATATGACAGGAAGTAAAATGGACAATTTGGATTACATGAAATTGAAATATTTTTGCACAAACAAAATCAATGAACCCAAAATTAGAAGGAAAGCAGGAAACTGGATGGAAATTTTTAAAGCAAGGTTCTCTGAAAAAAGTCCCATTTCTCAAATATGTAGGGAACTGAGCCAAATTTATAGAAACAAGAGACATTCCCCAGTTGATAAATGGCAACGGGATACAAATAGGCAGTTTTCAGAAGTAATCAAAGCTATCATTAGTTATATGTAATAACTGCAAAAGAAATAACAGCTCACATTTTTGCGGTGCTTTAATGGTTGAAGAGTACTTACAGATATTGTTTCACCTGAGCCAGAACAGATATGGAAACTGAGGAATGTTAGAGATGTGAATTGACTTGCCCAAGGTCACACAGCAAGGATGCATCTGACATAAGCGTGCTGATTCTGAAGTCACAGCATCTGAATAAATGAGTTTGTTCTCCTAACGCCCTCAAGTGGGCCCATGGGCCCAGGCTGATTGTCACACATGATTCTACACATCAGTGTAGGCTGAGGGTTGTGGGGGGACACAGTTATATGGAGAAAATTGAATGGTTTCAAAATAACCAGTAATTTTATTCAATCACTTTTATTTTCAAAGAAGCCCCATGGAATAAATACCTTGTCTATATGGTGGGATTATACCCAGTGTAGCACAATTTTCCACGTATTTGTCTCAAAAATTAGGCCATCCATGCCTTCTCCATGGCTAATGACCCAGAAAGTCATGAGATGTATACTGAATGAGGCTGAATTCCCTAGCAAATCCAGACCCAGTGAGTTCAACAGCTAGGAACAGTAGATAAAGTGCCAGACTTGGAGTCAGGAGGACTTGAGTTCAAATCTGGCCTCAGACACTTACTAACTGTGTGTCACTGAGCAAGTCACAACTTCTCTCTGCCTTACTTTCCTCATCTGTGAAATGGAGATTATAATAACATTTGTCTCCTTAGGCTGTTATGAAGATCAGTTGGATAATTATTGTAAAGCACTGATCATAGTTCCTGGAACATAGTAAGAGCCACATAAATGTTAGCTATCATTATTCCTGGGGAAATCCTATAACAGGATCATTAAAGAGATGATTTGTGAAGAGCTAGAAAAGGAAGCAGTTTAGAAATCTCTGAGATGAGTTTGATATCCAAGGTATATTGTGAACTAGCAAAAATATAAGACCAATGAATTTCCCAATGAATCCAAGGATGAGATTAAGCATTTCTCAAAATAGAATGGCAAATTATTATTATTTTTTTTTAAGCAATTTGGGTTAAGTGACTTGACCAGGGTCACACAGCTAGTAAGTGTCAGGTGTTTAGTATGAAGGCAGATTTGAACTCAGGTACTCCTGACTTCAGAACTGGTGCTTTATCCACTGGGCCCCCTAGCTGCTCCTAGAATGGCAAATTATTAACAACCATAATGAAAGAAATGTTCCAAAATATTAAAAATAAGAGAAATAGAAATCAAAACAACTCAGAAGTGTCATCTGGAAAATTCAATTTAATAAACTCTTAATGAGCACCTATGGTGTGGCAGGCACTGTGCCTTGGCACACTGAAAATACAAGTAAAAAAAGAAAAATAGTCCCTGCCAACAAGGAGCTCACCATCTAAGAGAGGAAGACAACACACACAAGTAAAGTGAAAAAGGTAGGGAGCCAAGGGAGACCCAGTAAGAGGGAACCAAGTTGAGCTGCTGATGGAAAATGGAGAGTTACTTGAAAAGTTCTGAAAGGTTCTGAAAAGCCTCTATTCTGAAAGACCTCTATAAAGAAATGCTTTGGGAGAAATGTACCTGCTCTATCCTTGAGAGTCCTCCAATCAGAAGGGAGAGGCAACTGAAGGAACTGAGCAAGTGTTAAGGAGGGGTACGTAGAGCCAGGGGAGATGTTGAGAGGGGAGCTCCTATGGATTCAGGGAAGCAGGAAGAGACATCTTTATTGTCTCCCACTGGCATTCTCAGGGCATAGATGGCTGGGTCTGCCTGTCCTGCAGGACTTCTGCACAGGAGCTGTCCTTTCCTATAGGCACAAGGAGAGGTGTCTGCTCCTGTCTCCCACTGGCATTTCCAGGGCTGGCTGCTCTGGAGGACTCCCAGCTACCACACAAAGGAACTGGCCCATCTTATGGCTGCAGGCACCTGAGCAGCTCCATCCATAGCTGCATCTAGGGCCTAGACAGGGGACTCTGAAAAAGATATGAAGAGTCAGGGAAGTGTCTGTCCCTCTGCATCTGCCTCTTCTCTGACTGAAGCTTTCTTTTGCTGTCTAGTTCCTCCAGATCAATCACCACCCGAATCCAATGCGGGTCTCCTGTCCAAAGAAGCAGCCTGGATGAGAGTACATCTGTCAGAGATGTCCAAGGTACTTTGGCTTTTAGGGGACCTCTCACCTCTGCTCAGGCCTCTCTTACACAAATCCTTCTTGTCTTCCTCCCTTTTCTCCCTTGTTTTCTCCCCTTATTGTGCCCAGGTCTCATCTTTGCCCCTCATGCCACATCATGCCTTCCTCCTATCACCTGCGCATATCACATCTCCCCATTGGCTGTGTGTCAGGTCCCTGAGGGCAGTCCCTTTAGCTTTTCATCTTTGTAATCATTATAATATCACAGGAAGTAAAATGGATAATTTGGATTACATGAAATTAAAATATTTTTTCACAAACAAAATCAATGCAGCCAAAATTAGAAGGAAAGCAGGAAACTGGGGGGAAATTTTTAAAGCAAGGCTCTCTGATAAAAGTCTCATTTCTCAAATATGTAGGAACTGAGCTAAATTTATAAAAGTAAGAGACATTCCCCAGTTGATAAATGGTAAATGGATACAAATAAGCTGTTTTCAGAAGTAATCAAAGCTATCATTAGTTATATGTAATAACTGCAAAAGAAATAACAGCTCACATTTTTGTGGTGCTTTAATACTTGAAGAGTACTTACAGATATTGTTTCACCTGAGCCAGAACAGATATGGAAACTGAGGAATGTTAGAGATGTGAATTGACTTGCCCAGGGTCACACAGCAAGGATGCTTCTGACAAGGAGTGCTGATTATGAAGTCACAACATCTGAATAAATGAGTTTATTCTCCTAACATCCCTAAGTAGGCTCATGGGCCCAGGCTCATTCTCACAGGTGCTCCAAGACCATCACTGTAGGCTGAGCGTAGTGGAGGGAGACATTTATATGGAGAAAATTGAATGGTTTCAAAATAAGCAGTAATTTTATTCAATCACTTTTATTTTCAAAGAAACCTCATGGCATAAACACCTTGTCTCTATGGTAGGATTATACTCTGTGTAGCACAATCTTGCACATATTTGTCTCAAAAATTAGGCCATGCATAACTTCCCCGTGGCTAGTGACCCAGAAAGTCAACACAGGCTGAATTCCCAAGCACATCCAGGCCCAGGGAGCTCAACAGCTAGGCCCAGTAGATAAAGTGCCAGGCTTGAAGTCAGGAAGACCTGAGTTCAAATCTGACCTCAGACACTCACTAGCTGTGTGTCACTGGGCAGGTCACAACCTCTGTCTGCCTTAGTTTCCTCATCTATAAAACAGAGAGTATAATAGCATTTATCTCCTGGGGTTGTTATGAAGATCAATGGGATAATTCTTACGAAGCACTTGGTGTAGTGCCTGGCACATAGCTAGAACTATATAAATGTGAGCTATTATTATTCCTGGGAAAATCCTATAACTGGATCTTTAAAGAGATGGTTTGTGAATAACTAGGAAAGGAAGCAGTTCAGAAATCTCTGAGTTTGGTTTCATATCCTAGATATATTCTGAACTAGCAAAAATATAAGACCACAAGTCATTTCCCAATGAATGAGTAATCCAAAGATATGAATAAGCATTTCTCAAAATAGAATGGCAAATTATTAACAACCATAATGAAAGAAATGTTCCAAAATATTAAAAATAAGAGAAATAGAAATCAAAACAACTCAGAAGTGTCATCTGGAAAATTCAATTTAATAAACTCTTAATGAGCACCTATGGGTGTGGCAGGCACTGTGCCTTGGCACACTGAAAATACAAGTAAAAAAAGAAAAATAGTCCCTGCCAACAAGGAGCTCACCATCTAAGAGAGGAAGACAACACACACAAGTAAAATGAAAAAGGTAGGGAGCCAAGGGAGACCCAGTAAGAGGGAACCAAGTTGAGCTGCTGATGGAAAATGGAGAGTTACTTGAAAAGTTCTGAAAGGTTCTGAAAAGCCTCTATTCTGAAAGGCCTCTATAAAGAAATGCTTTGGGAGAAATGTACCTGCTCTACTCTCAAGAGTCCTTCAGTCAGAAGGGACAGGCACCTTAAGGAAGTGAGAAAATGTTAAATATCAAAAACTCAGTCAATTTGCATGGTGATGAGAATTTAGATGATCAGCTCATCCTGGGGAAAGGCAGAATGTTCCATGGAGTAGACAGCTAGCTGAGCTGCTGATGGGAAAATCAACTGCCACAATCAATGTAGGTGGTACTATGGAAAGACAGGTACACTATGTACTTCTAGTAGAGTACCGAATTAGTCCAACTATTTTGGGAAGTAACTTGGGCTTAACTCAGAGATCTTAACATTAGGAAATTCTATAATTCCATACCCTGTAGAGATTAAAAGGAAAACCTCATAGTAATAATCAAGAATTATAAACAGAGTAGAGGCCCATTGATAGTGGAATGGCTAAAAAAAAATGTTGTGGTACAAGAACATATTGTTATATTACTCTGCAATAAGAAACAACAAATTTGATGAGTTCAGAGAAGCCTAGAAAGACATATACAAACTGATACAGAAAGAAGTAAACAGCACCAGGAAAACAACAGACCAAATGATTGTAACAATGTTAGAATAAAGAATTACAATTTGAATGCTATATATTTTATAAGCTTAGTCTCTGTGAAGATGAGGGGAAAAAAAGCATCTCCTTTCCTTTCTTGAAGAGGTGGGGGATTATGGGTGTGGAACATATACTGCATATATAGTCATACCAAATAATGTATTAGTTAATTTTGGGAAATTCCTTTCTCCCCCTCTTTCTTTTTTATTCTTTGTTACAAGGGGTAAGTCTTTTGGTAGGTAAGGGAGAAAGGAAATAATCAGGTGATAATAATAAAGTGAAAACAAAAGATATCAACACAAATTTTTTCAAGGAAAAAAACCACAGAGAACAAATATAGGTTCAATAAACACAGGTCATGTCGAACTAACTTATTTTCTCTTTTAACACAGTTATTGAATGGAAAGTTCAGAAGAAAGATGTAGATGAGTGTTAGCTATATTTTAGCAGTCTTCGATAAAATTTCTCACAATTTTGTTTTTTTTTTCTTTTCAAAAATGTGTTATTGATGTCTTTGGTTTGTACAATATGGTAATTTGTAGATACACACTCTCTAGAAATGATCTCCCTTGTAACATCATGGTATTAGAGAAGAACACTGACTTGGGAGTCAATGGATCTTGGTTCAAATCTGGACTTTTGTCACTTACTGTGTGTCCTAGGGCAATTCACTTAACCTAAGCTTTTCTCATCTATAAAATGAGAGGGTTGTACTAGATAGCCTCTAAGGTCATTAAGGTCACTTCCAGCTTGAAATTAATCAATCAATAAACATTTATTAAGTATCTACTATGTACCAAGTACTAAGGATACAAAAAGAGGCAAAAGACAGTCCTTACCCTCGAGGAGCTTACAGTCTAATGGAGGAGACAATATGTAAACCAATATATACAAAGTCAGCTGTATACAGGATAAATAGGACATAATTAACAGAGAGAAGGCACTAGAATTTAGGGAAGTTGGGGAAGGTACATGGTGAGATTTTAGTTGGGACTTAAAGGAAGCCAACAAGGGCAGTAGGTTGAGTCAGAAGAGGGAGAACATTCCAGGGATGGAGGAGAGGCAGAAAGAATGCCTAGAGCCAGGAAATGGACTGTCATACATGGCCCAGGTAGGAGACCAGTGTCACTGGATTGAAGAGTGCACATCTATGATCCTACAAAAATCAGTTTTTTTAAAAAAAGGAAAAACAGAAAAATCACACAATATAGTGACTGCATCTGACAATTCATGTAATGCTCTGCTCTCCTAATCTCCATCTCTTGGCCAAGTGGATTGGCTGCATTAATGAAGGTTATTGTCCAGGATTAGAAAGATAACGCACAATTTGTGGATGCACAAATTACTTTTTTGCCAATGTGCTCTCTAAGCTTGAGCCCACCTTCCCTGGCCTCTGTATGTACTTGTGGGAGAGTGTGTGTCATAGACTCTGGGGGAGGGGTGTTTGGTACCAAATATATCACCACAGTGAAAACTTATTTCTAAAAGCTAATTGAACCTGGCTAATTGGTATCAATTCATAATCCTGGGAGGAAACACACTGATGGTATGTTATAAGATTAGGACTAATGGTCATGAGACCACCGCCATAACAGTCTCTTCTTAAGGAAAGCTGTGGTTTATAGAATCTACGCATGGAAACCATCGTTATAAGATTGGGCTTGAGGGTTATCATAACAGTCTTCTCTTAAGAGAGGCTGTAAGCTTATGGAATCTAGGCATGGAAAAATATTGACAATAATAGCTTAAAGGTTAGCACAGCTGTGTGCCCCAAAATAATTTGCCAACCATCAGTTCATCTTCCCTCCCTGCATCCCTCGTGTGCCCTGAACCTTGACATGCAAATCGGTCAGCTTCAGGCAGCCACCAAAATCAAGATTTAAGTATTGTAACCTCAGAAGGGCACTTTGGAGCCCATATCCCCTCTGGACCCATGTCTCTGTGATCCCCACCACAGCCACTGCCCTTATGTGGGTTTTGCTCTGTATATGTCTAAGTTGTATACTGGGTCCCCTTCTCCCCATTCCCCTCTCCTATTCTTCCCTATCACTTGCCAAGAGAACTTAACATTGAACTGATCCCCACTGTTATGATATATTCTTGGCATCCAGATCCAGTAAGGAGTTTTCCTCCCTGATGCCTCCGGCTGGTCACAGCCTTTCCTTAGATCTAAACTGGGTCCCTGAATAAGGACTTCATCTATTGACAACCATACCTACACGGGAGAGTATGACACTGTGGGCCAGTCATTGAAAACAAGGATCAATAGGAAAGACCTATGTCCTCCCAGGAGAGACTCCCTGATGCCAAAGAACTGTCACAAAACATGGGGGCTCGTGAGCTGTATAGAATTAGAAACCTCTAATGCCACCAGCTTTTCAGGGCTGCCCCTAAAATCCAGAGAGGAGGCATGGCAACCATCTCTGGGGCTCTGACCTGCCGGTGAGAGCTGGGGGCTGGGGGAAGGGCTGCAGAGAATGTATCTTAATAGGATCAAAGATTGAGAGCTGCAAGGGACCTCAGAAGCCGTCTAATCCAATGGATCCATTTTGAAGATGAGAAAACTGAGGGCCAGAGTGGCTAAAGGACTTTTCCAAAGTTTCCAGGCACCAAGAGGCAAGGCTGGGATCGGAAGCTAAACCGTGGGACTCTTAAGCCCAGTGCACTTTCCACCATGCCATGCTGTGGCCGTAACATTGTGATGGGGGGGGTGGAAGGTAAGGGAAGCCAGTGTGGTTTGGTATATTAGAGCTCTCCAACTTTGAAAGCCCCAGTGGGTGATGGAAGATATTCTCTCTTCCATTGACTTTTAAAATTTTTTAAATATTTTTCCCAATGGCATGTATAAACAATTTTAACATGTTTGTTTGTTTTTAATTTTCAGTTCCAAATTCTCTCCCTTCCTCTCCTTGAGAAGGCAAGCAGTTTGATAGAGATTTGGTCTGCTTTAGGCCCAGCCACATCTTAAGGTCTGGGATTCTGGGGTAGGGTTTAAAAGAGTGATTTGGCCCCTTTTAACCACCTAGTTCTAGGGAGTTCTGTTTTGGGGGTTTCTGAAGAAAGGAGGCCCAGAATGGTCCTCACTGACCTCTCAATGCTCACTTCACCCCACTCCGATTTTATCCTTTCCAGAAGCCAGTAATAACAACAAACCTTTAAGGGTTGGGAGAATAAGGAATCGTGGAGCCACACTTCGAGTCCACTGGGTTACAAAGAAAGGTAAGCTGAGCTCTGAGCCCAGTCTTTCCATGTTAGCCTCGCTGGGAGCGCTCAAAAGTCCGAGGGCTTCAAACCCTTCTTACCAGATTGTCTCCAGCTCACCAGTGTCCCAGGCTGTGAGCAGAGCGTGAGTGACTCAGAATCAAGGTGTTAAACAAAGCTCTGTTGGCGTTCCTTGTCTGCACCAATCACGGGGAGAAGAGCAGTTTCAGGATCGCTGGGTTAGATCCAACCCGAGGATTGAAGGTGGGGGCTCTCATGCTCTCTCCCCTTCACTGTGTTTCACAGGCAGTACCAGCCTCAGTGTCCTGTGGCATCTTGTGCTTCTCCAGGCTTTTGCTGTCCCTCTGCATCCATCTTCAGCTGCCACTTCATTCCCCTTTGTGGGCACGACCCTTAAAATCCAACTTTCCCCTTTTGGCCCTCTTCATTTCATCAATGGGGCCGTTTCTGCTTAGGACGATCCAGAGTTCCTCTCCTCCCTTTCACAGCCAATTTCCTGGAAAAGGCTGCCTATACAAATTGCCCCCACTTCCTCTCCTCCCCATCGATTCTCAGCCCCTTCCCATCTAGCTTCCCCGCCTCCACTCAGCTGAAAGTACCCTCTCCAAAGCCACCTATGATCTCTTCATCACTAGGGACAAGGGTCTCTTCTCAGTGCCTGTGCTCTTTGACCCCTTGTAGCTTTTAATATTGTCAGTCACCTCCTCCTTTAAGTTCTTCCCTCCTCCATTGACTTTTGTGCCACTGTTCTTTCCTGGCTTGCCTCCTACCTGTCTGATCACTCCTCAGCATCCTCACCCTCATCTTTATCCATGACCTGCTTCCATGCGGTCTTTGCTTAGGCTGCTCCTCCTAGAACCCCTGGCTTCCTCCAAGGCTCAACAAGGGTGATATCTCCTACAGGAAGCCTCTCCTGATCTCCATCTCACACACACACACACATACACACACACACACACACACACACATACACACACACACACACACACACACACACACACACACACACTCCTACCTCCAAATCACTTTGTATTTATTAGTATCCATCTTGTATTTCCTTCTTGTGTCTACACATCGTACATCTTACCACACCTTTCTCAATGAGAGCTAGAACTGTCAAGCTTCTGTGCTCAATGGCTAGCACACAGTAGGTGGTTAAGGAACATGCGCTTTGAATCCTGTTTAGTGCCTACTGTTTGTCCCAGACTGACAAGAGACTACCTTGGTTCCCCTCATCCAGGAGCCTCTGGCTCCCATTACTGGCCATCCTCTCACCCAGTTGTTCCTAGAGTCTATAGCCACATCCCTGGACATGGAAGGTGCCCACCCCCTTCACAGGAAGAAGTGTTTGGAGGGACATCTTCCATTGGTCCCCCTCCGATAGGCTCAGACCGCACTGCTTGGCCCCGAAGGTTCAAGGGTCCCCCTTTTCCTCCTCTGTGCCATGTGGGCTGACTTTTCAGCCTAGGCTTCCTCTCCACCTTTCCAAGCCCTTCCGTTCTTCCAAGGAGTCCTTTCCTTGGAGCCTCCATCGTGGAAAACCTGGAGTAGACAACTCTGGTAACCCTTTCCCAGACTTTGTTTGTTACACATCAGGGTCCTTGGTACCAAAAGGAACACAAACAGTACACTCTCAGCAGCTGCCTGAAACCTGGTCCTTCAGGCAGAGAAAGAAAGAGACAGACAGACAGACATAGAGGGTCAGAGACAGAGAGAGACAGAGATAGAGAAAGACAAAGAGAGAGAGTCAGAGGCAGAGAGACACAGAGAGTCAGAGACAGACAGAGAGACACAGAGACAGTAAGAGATAGAGGCAGAGACAGAGAGAAAGAAAGAGAGTCAGAGATAGAGAGAGACAGAGAGAGACACAGAGAGGGAGCTCAGAAGCCCACCTGAAGAAGGTTCTGGCTCTAACTTACCAGACAAGTGGTCATTCAGCTTCTGTTTGAAGGCCTCTGCTGAGAAGGCTCCCACCCCCTCCAAGGCCAGCCTGCTCCTCTGTGAGAGAGCTGTCATTGTGAGGAAGTCCTCCTTGATCTCACATCTGCAACTTCTCCCCTCCCACCTCCTTGCTCCTCATTCTTCCCTCTGAGGCCAAGAGGGACAAGATCAATCGCTTGTCCATATGAAAGTCCTTCACATGCTTGAAAACAGCTCTCATGCCCCCCACAGGCCTATTTCTTTGACTGAGCCTCATAGGATGGCTCCATTCCCCACCTGTTCTCGGTGGGAGGAAGAGTCCTCCAATCTAACCCCACTGCTCTCTGATCCTCTGATCCTTCTCCCCTAATACTTAGCTTAAACACCCTCTGAGCTTTTAAAGGCTCCCTTCTCTTCCCCCACCACTCTCAGCTCCTGTCTAGCACTGGCTCTCCACAGGAACAATGTTCATGTCAGGCCTTGCCAGCCTTCTGGATCCAACCATTCTCTGTGACTTGCCCCAGCTTGCATCACCCAGGTCGTAGGCATCGTTCACTCTCTTACTTATTATGCCATCAATGTATTCAGACCTGGAGCTCATTTGGCCCTGATTTCAGTCACACAGGAGGCTGACTGGGTGAGGTGGGGGGCATGAGGCCCACCCTATTGTCAGGGTGGCAAGAGACATCTCTTTTAGCCCTGATATCCATTATTCCCAGGAAGTAGACTGGGTCACCACTGTGGTCTGAAGAACCCTCAGCAGAGAGGTGAGAGGTAGCTAAGTGGTGCAGTGAATAGAGTGTTGGGCCTGGAATCAGTAAGACCTGAGTTCAAATGTGATCTCAGACACTTATGACTGTGTGACCCTGGCTAAGTCACTTAACTTCTGTCTACCTCAGTTTCTTCAACTACAAAATGAAGATAATAATACAACCTCCCAGGGTTGTTGTAAGTATCAAAGAGATAATATTTGTAAAGTGCCCGGCATATAGTAGGCACTTAATAAATGCTTGTTCCCCTTCCTGAGAAAATTTTAAAATTTAAAATTTTAATTTTATTTAAATTTTATTTAAAATTTAAATTTTAAAAATTTCAAAATTAACCACAGGGAATTATTTTCACGAAACCATGGGACCATAAGATTTAGAGCTGGAAGGGACCTTAGGAATGACCTTGTCCTACCCTTACACTTTGAGGACGAGGAAGAGGAGGCAGAGGTAATGACTTGTCCAGAATGGCAGCACCAGAACTCAAGAAAGATCCTCTGCTCATTCTTCCATACCTTGCTTCCTGCCTTAAGCACAAGGCTTGGGACTATAAGCCCCCCATTCATTTCTCTGGGCCACCTGAATTCTGATAAATCTGGGCTTAATCTGGGAAGGGCTTTGCTGGGAAGGCTACAGCTGACATGGGTCCAGAGCTTGAAGAGACTTAGTGACCATCAAGTCTAACCCCCTGGTTTTCCAGAGGAGGAAACTAAGGCCCGGGGATATTCAATGACTTGCCCATGGTCATTCATAGTAGCAGAGATAGGATGATAATAATAGTAATAATAATAATAACAACAACTAGCATTTATATAGTGCTTTGAGGCTTCCAAAGCATTTTACAAATATTATCTCATTTGATTTACGCAACAACCTTAGGAGGTAAGTGCTATATTATTATTTCTATTTTACAAATGAGGAAACAGAGGCAGACAGAGGCTTATTGACTTGCAAAGAGTCACATAGCTGGTAAGTGTTTGAAACAGGATTTGAACTCAGGTCTTCTGCTGCCTCAGTGATTTGAGCCCAGGCCCTTTTGCCTCCAGAGTTCCAGGGCTCTGCCTGCTTCCCCACTGCACACTCAAAGGTGAGCATCTCTAGTGCTTTGAGGTCTCAGCTGACCCTCACAAGGACCCAGGAAAGGAGGCATTTACTACTCTGATGCTCTCCAGTAAATTGCATGGCCAATGGACCCAGATGGCTCTAGAGGAGAAAGTGAGGCTGGTGACTTTGCACAGCCCTTCCTCACTCAAATCAAAGTCAATTGCAAGTCACATCACCATCAACCTGATGCCACCATCCTCTTGGAGAACGAAGTGCCATGGCCCCACAGGCAGTGAGCATCAAAGTCAGGGCTTGCACCTCCATGTCCCTTGCCTCAAAGGCTGGCACTCCTTTCCTTACACTACTCTGGAGCCCCTGGCAATGCCTTTTCTTTGGGTAGGTCATGATCAAGTCAAATTGGTCATTTCTCTTCCAGTTTCCAGAAAGGCAGAGGTCCAAAGATTAATTACAATCTTCCTGAGCTTCCTGTCACCTGTAGGAAGGCAAAAGGCACTTTACACAAGGAAAAAATGAAGAATGGTGAGCCTTACATTCTCTGGCTCTTGAGAGAGTCAAGCTCAGAGGCATTGCTGGTGGGATGAGTGGAAGGATGAATGGAGGGATGGATAGAGGGATGGATAGAAAGGTGAATGGAAGGGTAGATGGAAAGATGGACAGAAGTGTGACTGGAGGGACAGGTGGAAGGATGGACAGAGGGGTGAAAGGAGGGGTGGATAGAGGGATGGATGGAGTGTGCAAGTAATCATTAGCTCAAGAATGTCTGATTCTTTGAGATCACAGGACCTTCCTGACCCTTTCTAAATGAGCTTGAAAGCCCAACAAGTGTTCATTAAGAATCTACTACGGATATAGCCTTGTGAAAAGAATTAGAAAAAAAAACCCAGTCCCTGCCCTCTAGGAGATTACAGTCTTGTTGGGAGGGGAGGCATATGGAAACATAGAACTCCAGACACTTAATAGCCATAAACAGGGACCAGACCCTGTGATTTCAATGGTATAAGGAACTCCTGGGTGAGGAAATTCCCTCTACCAGTGCAGGTCACCACCTTCTCTGCAACTTACAGTCTAAAAGATTTGCCTTTTTGTTGTTATTCAGTCATCTTAGTTGTGTCTGACTCTTCACGACCCTATTTGGAGTCTTCCTAGCAAAGATACTTGAGTAGTTTGCCATTTCTTTCTCTAGCTCATTTTACACATGAGAAAACTGAGGCAAGCAGAGTTACATGACTTGCCCAGGGTCACACAGCTAGTAAGTGTCTGAGATCAAATTTGTCTTCCTAACTACAAGCCTGGCTCTCTATCTTCTGGGTCACTTGGCTGCCCAAAGATTTGCCTAGAGCAGCAGTTCTCAAACTTTTACACTCTTAAGAATTATTGGAAGAGTTTTTTTTTCTGTGGGTTATACCTATCCACATTTACCATATTTGTCAATTGTTGTGGAATTAATGTAAAGAGAATTCATAGGGAGTAGTCAAAGACCGAAGAGTTTGGAGAAGCTGGACTCAGGTAAAGAGTACTCCTGCAGGAGCCAACCAGTCAGTACACAAGCATTTAAGAACCCACTGTGTACCAGGAACTGAGCAAAGCTGGGGATTCTAAGAAAGGCAACAGAACAAAACAAAAACAGTCCCTGTTTTCAAGGGGCTCACTATCTAATAGGCAAGACAATTTGCAAAGGACTCTGTCCAAACAAGCTATGGACAAGATACCTTGGGGATAATCAACAGAGGATTCAGCTTACTTGCTTTAGCGGGTGCAGAGTGGCAGAGGGAATAGTGTCTAGCTGGGGTGTTCCCAGAGCAGGCCAGAGCCTAATGTAATTCACGGAATCTCTCTCTGTCTCTGTCACTGTCTGTCTCTGTCTCTTTCTGTCTCTCTCTCTCTCTCTCTCTCTCTCTCTCTCTCTCTCTCTCTCTCTCTCTCTCTCTCTTCTCTCTCTCTCTCCCCTTCTCTCTCCCCTCCCCGTACCCCATGGCACCCCCACCCCAATTCTAGGGTCCTCTGAGAAGTGCATCGAGATGGCAGACGGGAGGTGGCTCACCCCGAGGAGTTTGAAATCGAAGGCGGCCGCGAACTTACCAAGAATTGGAAGAAGAGCATTTGCTGCGGCTGGCACACGCTGCACTACCTCATCCTGGTAAGGCCCCGAGCGCCCCCGGCCCTGACCCGCAGCTGGAGCTGGCAGCGCTCCCCGCGTTCCGTGGCCGCGCAGGGCTGCACCGCCCGGCCCCTTGGCCAGCCAAGGCTTGGCGCTACCTCCCCGGTCTCACAAGCCTGCCGACAGACCCCGAATGAACTCCCCTCGCCCATGCACGCACGCCCATACCCCCATTCACACTCACCTATATCCACACACTCACACCGAGCACAAACAGTCCAACCAAACCCTCTTCGAGAGAAGTCGTGGCTGTCGGTCCGCGCCCCCGCCCGGCACTCGGGTTTCCCATTGGCTGGCTGGCAGGCAGCGGCGTTGGGCCCTTGACCCCTGGCAGCTGGGGACTCACCGTGTAGTCCATTGTGCTCGAGCTGATTTCTGGGGCCCTTTCGAGTTGTCTTCCAGAGTTCAGTTCTCCTCTCGGTGTGAATTGTTCTATTGTCTCACAATGTCTCTCTCTGTCCATGACTCTATGTCTGTGCCTGTCTCCCCACCTCCCCAACCCCCATCTTTCCCCCACCCCGCCTCCCTCATCTTGCCACGTGCCTCTGTGCTGCTCTTGTCCATTTTCTGCTACCTGGCCTTGCTTCTGTCTTTGGTATGTTTCTGAAATCTAAGTTGGGGAGTGCTCAGTCTCTTCAAACAAGCCTCATTTTTCCTCTGCAGCCGAATTGTTTCCCTTTTCCCTTTGGTCCCTTTGTGACTTCAGAATTTCATTCTTGAGAGTTTTCCATCCTTCTTGGCCTAGCTTCCCCTGTAGATTGTTAGACCGGTGGGATCCTACCTGTCTTGCACTCCTAATCTCATAATTGATTTATAGCAACTAAATGTTAAATCATCATTTGCTCATTACCGCTTTTCAAGCCTTTCTTAACCTTGTTAAATTTCTGATGGATGCTTGGCCAATGGAGGCATTCAAAGGCCCAGTTCTGAATTCTTTATCTGGAAAGAATTATATTTTCTAACTTAATGAAGGAAAAGCTTTATTATGATGAGTATACTCAGCTTTAGGGACAGCTAGGTGGCACACTGGATTAGAGCTCTGGTGCTGGAGTCCAGAAGATCTGAATTCAAATCCGGCTTCAGATACTTGCTAGCTGTGTGACTCTGGATAAGTCACCTAACTCCTATTTGCCTCAATTCTTCATCTGTAAAATGGGAACATACTGGAGAAGGAAATTGCAAATCACTCCAGTATCTTTGCCAAGAAAACCCTATGGACAAGTCCATGGGGTCACGAAGAATAGGCTGCAACTGAACAACAAGAAATGCTCAGCTTTGAAGGAAAAGCTGTTTTGGAGTGCAAGCCTACTTGACTTGCTTTCCAGTGAATCTCTTTGCACTTGTCTCTTTCATTTCCTGTTCTCAATAAGTAATTTTTCACAATTAGAATCAGTGCTTTCTTTTTTTTTTAGTTTTTTTTTTTTGGTTAGGCAATGGGGTTAAGTGACTTACCCAGGGTCACACAGCTAGTAAGTATTATGTGTCTGAGGCCGGATTTGAACTCAGGTCCTCCTGAATCCAGGGCCGGTGCTCTATCCACTGTGCCACCTAGCTGCCCCTAGTGCTTTCTAAATATGTGAATTTCTTCCTTCTAGTTGTTGGTAAGAGACTGCCTTTGCTATTGAAGCATTCTGGATTTTGTGATTACATTACTGGGTGAATTGTATATGGTGTTCCTCTCTGTTTGGCTCCTATGAATAAAGTACAAGCTCTTCATCTTGACAGTTAATATTACACAATCTGGCTTCAGCCAGATTGATTTCACATTACTCCCTGTTATGTGCTCTATGTTCTGTCCAGCTGGCCTTGCTCTCTCCTTATATAACGTTTCATCTCCCACAGTTACACAGGCTGTCTCCCTGTTGCTCTCCCTCCTCTCTTCTACCTGTCCCTTGGAATCCCCAGCCATCCTGGATCAGCCCAAGTGCTACTTCCTATACTAGGTCTTTCCTGATAACTCTGGTTTTTCATAGCACCCCCACCTCTGCCCCAAATTTACTTTGTATATTTTTTATGTTTAGTTTATGTGTATATATACTGCTTCCTCCAAGCAAAATCTAAGCTCCTTCAGGACAGGAACTACTTAGCTTTGTCTCTGGATCCTTAGCATTTAGCACATAGGGATACAGTAGGCATTTAATAAATGCTTGTTGAATTGAGTCAAGTTGAATGGTCATAGTCCAGATGAGGTGATCACCACGTTCATTATGGTGGTGTCAGTGAGTATGTAAAAGAAGGAAAGGATAGCAGAGACATTGTGAAGGACCCATCCGCAGGACTCACCACTCACCTTTGGGTGGGAAGTTATGGAAAGTGAAGCATGTGGGCTGCCCCTGAGGCTCAGATCCTGAGTGGACAGAGGTTAGTGGTGTCCACCACAGGAAGTGCAAAGTCAGAAGGAGGAGCCTTTTGGGGGGGAGGGAAGAGCAGACTGTGAATTTTATTTTTGGTGTCTAGAACTTGGTATAATGAGATTTGGAGATGGAGTTATTAGTGCAGATTTAGAAATATGGAACTTGGGTGGGGGTGGGGCAGGAGAGACCACAAACAAAGAGACCCTATTCATTAACTCTCTGTCCTTTTCAGAAAAAAATTCTACCTTGTCCTCCTAGAAGATACGGCAGGACCACAAAGGTAATTATGATCTGACCTTACCCAGGCAGCCACCTGGTGGCTGTTCCTGCTCCAAGTATTGCCTAGATCAGCAGTATCAAACTCAAATAGAAACAGAGGCCATCAAACTGTACCTAAGAATCTTGCCAGCTGCATGTTGACTTAGAAAACCACACATTAACATTATCTATGTTCTATTGTATTTTTATTCATTTTGTTAAATATTTCCTAATTACATTTTAATCTGGTCATGCTAGCAGTAGACCTCACCATGCTCTGACCTAGGGGTCCCTGAGGGCATCAAATATGATGAATGCCCACTCCTGGGGAAAGTCTCTTGTATTTACTTTCAATATATTTGTTTTACACTTGTTTTCTCTTCTTATAGAATGTCAACACTTTGAGGACAGGGCCTGTTTCATTTAGGTCTTTATATTCCTAACACAGAACACAAGGCCTATCACAGTAGGTACTTAATAAGTCACAGCTTACAGAAAATACTTTGTGAATGTTGATTTCCTAGGATCAAGGAGCCAGTTACGAAAGGGCAGAACTGGAGTAATGAAGATGTGGTAGAAAAATATCTGAGTGTCATAGTGGCCACCAAGCTAAATTGTGAGTCAGAAATTTCAGTGCTTCATGCCTGCCATTGGGATGGACATCAGGAATATGACACACAGGGAAAATAAGATCATCTTGCTTTGAGTTTTTACCTCAGTTTTCACATAAATATTTCATCTTCTTGCCCTGCTGGTCACAGTAAATGAGCTCAGAATTGAACTAACAGACACTAATTGAGTGTTGTCTCTATAGGACTTCGCTACCCATCAAACGAGAAGACAGCCAAAAGTCCAGAAAAGGACACCTGAGTGTCAGGCTCCACTTGCTCAGGTAAGTCCTTTCTTCATGCTTTGTTGGTGCTGGGAGGGATTCAGAGTCTCCACTTTTTTTTCTAAGCTGTCAGTTCCCAGGTTTCTCCTTTTCTATTCTTCCTTCAACTGTTCTATTTCCATCGTTGCAGATGACTGAATTTCCTTTGAATCTCAATGAATTCCAAACTTCTCTGAAGGTTCTCATGGTCAGCCCTTTCTCCTTTGGAGAGGCTCTGCTTCTTACAGGCTTGCTCTTTCCTTTTAGACATCTTCCCTCCCTTTCTCCCACTGTTCATTGTGTGGGGGCTTATTTCTTCATTCTCTCTGTTCGTTTTCATTCTTTCAGAGGTTTTCCCAGTAGTGTTTCTTTCCTCTCCCCTTGTTTTCACTCTTTTATCCTGTTCACAATTATTGCTCCTTAGAGGAGAAGCCAACTGTACTGAAGTGGATGTATTGTTCTGTGGAGTGGAAGGCAAAGAGAGCTGCTGGTGGAGAATTGGGTTCTCTGTGGCTTTCGAAGCCCAGAGGAAGCATCCTCTAGGGTGGCCCCACTTAGGATAGGCATACATAGGGCCCAGGTTGTCTGAGGTATGAGTTGGCTGTGACATGGTTACTGAGGAAAAGATCACAGATCCTCTGGGACATTGAAGCTCATGAGATAATATTTATAAAAAGGCTTAGCACAGTGCCTAGCACTTCGGTGCTAGATAAATATTTATTCCCATTTCTTCCCTTTGAAGCTTCAGCCATATCAGAAAACACAGCTGGATGCTTCAGAGCCACCTACAGAGGTTCATATTGGTGGAGCAGAATAGACCAAGATGGTCTTCTATCAGGTAGTTAGATGGTATAGTGGATAAAATGTCAGACCTGAAGTTGAGAAGACTTGAGTTCAAACATGGCCTCAGATATTTACTAGTTGATCATGTGACCATAGGCAAATCACTTAATCTCCCTCAGCCTCAGTTTCTTAATCAGTAAAATGGGGCCAATAATAGCACTCATATGTTGTAAGGAATAGATAAGATAAAATTTGTAAAGGGCTTTTAAAAAATCGATATATAAATGAAAGTTATCATTACCATCAGCATTATTATTGTTCCATCCCATCACAAAAGGATAGTTTATTACATAAACTTTTTTTTGGTAAGAGATCTCCTTTGGCATTGAAGCACTCTGAATTTTGTGATTACATTACTGGGTGAAAGCTCAAAGGACCAATTGTATGGGACTCTCTCCTAATTAGTAGAGATAGATGACCCAACTCCCCATGCCTCCTGATGGTGAAGGCTGGAAGCCAGAAGAGCTGGGATCTGTCTGCTCTGTGGCTGTCACCAATTCTAGTCCCTTGACATGGGTTGGAATATCGAGTAATCAGTCTCCACCAATGAGGAGAGAGTTCTGTACAATTGGCCCTTGGAATGATTGACCCCCCTCCTGGTAAAAAGGAGTTTCCCCTTCTTCATTTTACATGTGACTCAATATACAGCAACCTTTGGCTCTACTCACTATATTTCAAGAACTTGATGATTGCATTGTATAAAGCTCACCTCTTGGGCCAGATGTCCAACATCATGGCTGGGTGATTTCTGTCCGCGTCATCACTCTCCTTCTTTAACAAGGAGAAGTAAGAGCTGGCTGCACAAAGAAATAGCTGGACCTCTAGTGCCACATGCACTGTGCTGGGCAACGGGGAGGGCGAAGGGAGGGACACAGGCCCTGTCCTCCTAGAGCTCACTTTCATTCAGGAAGATGGAGCCATTTGCAGAAAGAATCCTAAGGCAAAACAGGGGATGCAGGAAAGTCCAGTAGGAAAGCAGAGGCAAGCCTGGGGCAGACTTCACGCTTCGGCCTTGTATTTCAGTAGACAGAGCTGAGAGACTAAAGGGAAGTCTAGGCAGAGGGGATGGTTTCAGACAAGGCGTGAAGGTGGGAAAGGTCATTGCATCCTCAGGGAATGGTAAGTTCACACAAGTTGTAAAGTTGTGACCTTTTCCTGACACCAATCCCAAACCCACCCAGTGTCCACCTGCCCTGCTAGTCAGGCCCATAGTTAGTCATTTTGTTTCTTGGGAAAAGCCTCAAGAGATGCTAGTGACAAGCCCCTGGAATAATGGTTGGGCAAGCATGCCCTCACTTAGCTTTGTGATTCGTGATTGAAAAACACAAGTAGTTAATGAGGAGAGGATTCCAGCTGGGGAAGGTGACTTTCCCTTCTGAGTGAGTGGGACTGTGGTAGCCGGACCTTGGGGAGAATCTGCACTGAGGGGGAAGGAGGGGGAAGGAGGATGGATAGCTGAAGAGAAATGCTCCGAAGGGGCCCAAAGGCGGTGATGAGGAGGATGCAGGGGCCTGAATGGCTTCTGAGTGTCCCGAGGATAGGGGTGGCCACACCAGGAAGTCCACAGCCGGGGGGGGGGGCAGGATGAGTTTTCCCTTAGATGTGCTGAGTTTTCATAATCAGGGGGCAGGGAGATGGATATCTCTACTTCTTCTTCTCTCTCTTTTTTTTTTTTGGCAGTTGGGGATAAGTGACTTGCCCAGGGTCACACAGCTAGTAGGTGTCAAGTGTTTGATCTGAGGCCAGATTTGAACTCAGGTCCTCCTGACTTCAGGGCCGGTGCTCTATCCACTGCGCCACCTAGCTGCCCCGGATATTTACTTCTGAGAGACCATTGGAAATATGTGTCTAGAGAGTAAGAGAAGGAAGCTCCAAGGGGTCCCTGCTCATGAAGTGTTTTTCCTTTTCAGAATGCATCTCTACCTCAGCCTAAAAGAAGGTGCTTCCAGAGAAGGAAGGTAATTTTATAATGACTTTCCGCCATGAGGTGTTACTGTGTCCCCGAGCTCAGAAGCAGCAACTCTCACCGGGGGAGGAGGGATGTGGTAGCTAGCCCCAAGGCTCTCGTGGGAGGGGGGACTGCCCTGCTTGGCCCCCAAGGACAGAGCCAGGAATAGGGGTAGGGGAGGGAAGCTGCAGAGAGGGTTACATTGAGGCTCAAGTCAGCAGAAGCTCTGAGAGCCGTCCCTGGTGGGAAGGTGGCCATAATTAGGTTTAGTGGACTCTTGTTTAGGTCTAGGTTGGACTGCCTGGCTGCTGAAGACCCCCCAGCTTTTATTTCTGTGATTCTTTGAAATCTGATGTGTTTCCCCTTGCAGGCAAAGTCTCTTCTTCCCGGAGTTTCATTTTCAGGAAAGGAGAGGGTGCACTCTCTTGTCTTAATAATTAGACCAATTAGGACCAAGACTCAAAGATGAATGTGTCCCTCCTCCACCCCTCCAAGTCCCCTCACTCCCCACCGAGGGCCACGTGGAAGCCAATTACCGCTCCTGAATGGGAGAACCTGGCTAGCAGCAGAAATAGGGTTAGAGATAGGATGTTCCTACTCCTAATTCCACCTCATTCATCCCAGAACTCTGCTAGGGATCAAAGTGAAGTTCATTGGCCCATCCTCTTTGGAAGACTGCCCAGGGGCAATTCGGAGACTTTCTGCCTCCAATTCCAAGCTCACACACAGATCACTGCTGGGCAAGGCTCAGCAGTCACACCTGCCAGGCCCTCCCAGCCCAGTGAATCTGTGACCTCCAAATGGCGGGTGATGACTTACCCAAGCCCACTCCCACTTGCCTTCTCAGGGAGATCAAGGGCTCCATCTTGGCAAGACCTGCCCACCTCCTGGTCATACTGTACATTTCTCTGATAATATCTTTTGGCTTATAATTGGTGTCTTTTGTTTACAACACCATAATGATGTCCCAGTGTTCCTCCTCCCATTTCTTTATCAGATGACACATGCAGCCCACTCGTGCCCCTGGGCAGGATTCCCTTACCCCTACTGATGATCTGAGACATTGCCCCTTCAGAGACTGCCATATTCCATGGCTCACAGCCATTCAGGGCATCCCTAGGAGAATGTTGGTGTTATATGTACAAGAATGAATGAAATAGGCGCAAAGTAAGGATAGGTCTAGAGTTAGAGACTGGGCTAGTACTGTCACCGCTATGGGGACCTCTCAGAGAGGAAATTCCCTTTACCAACACAAGTCAGCTCTATCTCTGAAACAGATGGTCTTAGAAAATTGCCCAGAGGCCCAAGAAGGGGAGTGGCTTACCACTCGGCCAGCAGGTCTCAGAGAGGAGACTCGAATCAGGACTTTCCTGGCTTGAGAACCAGTTCTTATATAACATGCTACCTCTGTACAAAATAAATACAGGGTTATTTTGAAGGGGGACCTCAGGGGCGAGGGAGAGAATGAGGAAGCAGATAAAGAAAGACTTCACACAGGAAAGTGCATCTAAAGTGAGCTTTGAAGGGAGCCTGGCAAACTGGCAGAGGTGAGGAAAGAGTCTGGAGGACAGACGGTCCGTGAGTGCAAGGGTCAAGAGATGGAGACCAAGTGCTGTGTTCGAGGACCAGAGAAGGCCCATCTGGATGGACCTTAGAGCGTGGGGAGAGCAATAATGTATGTTGAAAAAGTAGGTTGAAGTCAGGCTGTGAAGGGCTGTAAACTCCAGGGGAATTTATCTTTGCTCCTGGAGGTAATTGTCTTATTTGGCCTCACAGATCAAGTTAAGGTGAAGACCTGAGTTGAGGAATTTCCGAGAAATTGGTACTCAGGAAGTGGGTATAAAGAAGTGTTTTGTTATTTTGTGGCTCAGCCAGCAGGCAAACAAAAGAGTGCATGCACACGCACACACACGCACACACACACACACCATATCGCAACAGAAGCAAACAGATTCTCCCCACAGATGCAAGAAACTCACCCAGTTCGAGCGGGAGGGAGACGTATCAGGGAAGAAACATACTAAAAGTTGGGGTTCAGGTTACGTACCCTAAGAATGGGTATTGGTTAAGAACAAGTAATGGGGGCCAGATGTGGGAGGGGGCCTTCCTAATCACCAGATTTGCAGAGAAGTTTTTGGGGTTACTTATTGATAACAGTTTTGGGGTGAGGCTTGGATAGGGGAGTTTCTTTATTTGGACCACAAACTGGGTTATCTTTCTAGATCAGCAAGAGGAGAATGACTCAAGGTGCCTGCAGCAGGTCAAGGGTTCCATCTGATTGAAATCTGTGAGCATTATTTGCCTGACTCAGAATTAACAGATCAGAGCAGTGGGAAAATCCAAATTGTCTGTCTTTGCCTATCTGCTTTAATGGGCATTAGGACCATTTAGCCTAAGTGACTCCATCTTGGAGTCCTATCATTTTAACTATAAAGTCTACAATGATCACAGGAGTCCCTGGAGTTTCCTGAGCAGAGGACGGGAGGGGTGGGGCAGAATGATATGATTGTACCCACCCCTTAGAGGAATAACTGGGTAAGTGGAGGATGGATGGAGTTGGGAGAGACTTGAGGTGGGCAGACCCACCAACTGCCATTTCGATAGTCCAGGAATGGGGTGATAAAGCCCTGCACCACAGTGCGGGCAGTGTCAGAGTAGAGAAGGAGGTCCACATATAAGAGATGTCATGAAGCAAGACTTGGCGATAGATTGGCTAAGCTGGGGGTCAAGAAGGACACAGAAGTTACTTGTGCCACCACCAGGTGGGAGAGGGAATGTTCCGAATGTTGCTTCTAGCTTGGAACTCTGGTGTGCCCTGCTTCCTGGACCAAGGAAGCCCCTCCACTCTGGGTGTAGGCTTGTTATAGACCTAGCACACGCACTAAAGGATCAGTTTGTTTTCCCCAATGTTTCCCTGGCCAAGAAGGGAAGGACAGAGCTGGAAGGCCAGTTCCCAGTCGTTGCCTAGTGACCTGCCTCATCACTGGTTATTGGTAGAGATTAGGGATGTTTCATTCTGCCAGGCTAGAACGGGGGGCCAGAGCCAAGGGCGCTTGAGTCTTTTGTCCTGATGGGCAGTGGGCCTGAAAGCTTTGTCTTGTTTCTTCAGCAGTTCCCCTGGCAACCACCCGATGCCAAGATACCAGCCCCAACAAGGTCCCTCTTTTTGCCCGGCTCCCTGACACTGGAGTGCGTGTGAGCACATGCAGGCACACAGTCACACAGGCAGCCTAGGAGGTCTTTAATCTGGAATAGAAAGGACCGTTGTGGGCTGGACTCTGTGAGACTCTACTGGGTGGAAGGAGGTCCAGCTTCTCAATGAAGTGATGGCACATACACAGCTCAGGGCTCCTTCCCATCCTAGGGAAATACAGAACCAGCTGGTATCACCATGCCCAGATATTCCAAGGCAGCCCTTGGGACGGTTGGCTTATGCCTTCCATGTTGTTTCCAGCATTGAGGAGGAGAGGACAGAAGGTCCTGGCATTCTTGGGTCTATTCCCTAAGGAAGACTCATTCTGCATTGTGAATGAACACACCCTGACTGGCATCTCTGTTCTCTTGTTTGCCACAATAGGTACCAGGAAGGACTTGTCTGAGCAGGTCCCAGTTACCAGGTTAGTACCAATTTTTAACTCTGTGTAAGGTTTATAATTTACGAAAGGAACAGATTTGGGGCCATGATAATAATACATGGATATTCCCTATTGGAGGTGCTACATATGGTATGAAATAATAATAATAATAATAGCTAGCATTGACATAGCGTCTTAAGGTTTGCAAAGCACTTTATGCATATTTACTGATTTGAGCTTCACGACAACCCTAGGAGGGAGGTGCTATTATTGCTCCCATTTTGCAGATGAGGAAACTGAGGTAGGCAATGGTTAAGTGACTTGCCCAAGGTCACACATAGGATTTGAATTCGGGTCTTCTTTACTCCAAGTTCAACATGTTATCCACGGGTCCACCTGGTTGCCTATGTAACATAGATGCGTATTTGTGTATATGTGTAAGCCACAGCAGCTGAACTGTGGGAACAGGGAGACAGCAGCTTTTGTCAATAACACTGATGATCACACTGGTCTCTCTCTTTCCAAAACTTCCTGTGTGACAGGAGAAAAAGCAAGGAGTTTCTGTGAGAACTTTTTTGTGGTGCAGTAATAAAGCTCTGCTAAGTTCTGTTTACCTAGATGCCTTTTAAAAAATATATTTGAAAGAAATTAAACTTGTAAAAAATTATTAAAATTAAATTAAACTTCAAAAACATACTTAAAATATATTAACCCCTTTAATTAAAGATAAATTAAATCTTTTAAATTATTAGAAATAAATTTAATACTTTGATTTATTATAAAACAAATTAAAATTTTAAAAATTATTAAAATTAAACTTTAAAAATTCATTTAAAATATTAACCCTTTAATATATTAAAATAAATTGAAATTTTTAATTTGTTAGAATCAAATTAAATCTTTTAATTCATTAAAAACAAATTAAACTCTAAAATTTATTCAAAAATAAATTAAACAAAATTTACTGAAATTAAACTTCTGAAAATTTAAAATAAATTAAATGTTTTTCGTTTTTAATTTATATTTTAATTTTATTACTCTGAACTTGACAGTCATCGACAAATATGAACGTTTTTATATTTGTCATGCACAGAAGAACAAGGAAAGAGGATTGTGCAGGAAACCATGAGTCAATACATTTTACGTAAAGCTTGTTTTTAAAAAGAATGTCATCAGTTTCAGGCTTGGCCTGCTTGTCTTCATCATCTGAACTTCCTTTCGATCTCTTTCGCGTGTAACTAAATTGGTGACTTTCCCTGTGTGAGGCTGTTTTCCTTCACTGTCAGTCTCTGGAGACTGTCCCAGCTATCTCCTTTGCTGTTCATTTTCGGGTTCTCCTCAAGACCCATTTGGAGGTACCTATGATCATGTCCTGCTCCCCTCTCCCTCAAGAGTCCCTCCACTGGGCATGGGGAGAGGGGGCCCAGGACCATGGCCTCAGGAGTGCCCTGCCTGGAGCACTTGTAAACACCATCATTGTTCCCACTCTGTGCAAAGTCCAAGGACCAAGGAGGGGTCCACCCCAAATTTTTCTCTGCGTGTCCCCAGAAGCACTCAGGCCTCAGGCAACACTCAGGCCCCAGAATTGGCCCTTCCCAAGTGTGTTGTCATTTTCAAAGTGGATTCTTCAGAAAAGTCAATGGAGGGCAGTGTGGGGAGTGGTAAGAAGAAACATTTATTAAGTGCCTACTGTGTGCCAGGCTCTGTAGTAAGTGCCAGGGATACAAAGATAGAAGATAAATAGGCTCTGCCCTCATGGATCATGCATTCCCCTAGGGGAAATAGCATGATCACAAAAAAAAAAAGTAGAAGGGGAAGAGGAAAGGGAGGAAGAGGAGAAAGAGCACAGACACCCAGAGGGATCCTTAAGTGCTAAGTTGTAGACTTTTTTGGAGGCAACCAGGGTTAAGTGACTTGCCCAGGGTCACACAGCTAGTGAGCGCCAAGTCTTGAAGAGAGCCAGGCATTCCAGCTCTTGTCAGTGTGGGGGCTTGTGTTGTTGAGATCCCCTCCCTGCACTGGATAGACAGCCCTGACCCCCCTCATTTATCTCCCCCCTCTCTCCTTTCTCATCCTCTCTTTTTCTCTCTCCTTTCTGTCATTTTTCTTTTTATTTCCTTTCTTTTTTCTCACTTTCCTTTATTTCTCTCTCTTTCTTTTCCTTTTTTACCCCCATTTTATCATCAGACTATCTCCCTGCAACCTTACTCCTGACTGGGTTTTTTTTTCAGTTGTGTTGGGCTATGTGGGGGAGTTAAGGTAAACTTTCACTTGCTTCATCTATTTCACGGGATTTTCACTGGATTTACCAGAAGGTGGCCACCAGTTTTGCCTTTTGGAAGGACCGGTTTCACTGTCACTTTTTGGTAATGTTTCCTAGCCTCCTTTCTTCTCTGGTAGTTTCAGTGAAATCTCACTCCCAGAGACACGTTTGCTTCAGTTTTCATCCCTGGGAGAGTGACCTGTCCTCTTGACCCTGGTCTAGTTAGGGGTATGGATCAGTAGGGATTATTTTGTGCCTTGGAGCATTGAACAAACATCCTCACTTTTACTTTCTTGTGGCAGGGAGAAGACAAGTAGTTTCGCTGGCCAACCGACCAAAGTATCGTGCCCAACTCCAAGCCAGGGAATGGATTCACGTGGCATGCAGAATGGGCACTGGGCGCCTGTACAAGAACCGATTTGCCACAGGTGAGTTCTCAGAGAGGCAGCTGGTGTGCCGTTTGGAGCCTTCCTGGCTCATTACACATCACAGCCCTTGGCTCTAACATCGTCCAAGGGACTTCACTCACCCAACTGAACAGTCTCCCTAATTTCCCCCAGTATATCTCCCCTTCCTTCTCCACTTTTCTTAGAGCCTTCTCATATAACAAATAACATTTTTATAAAGACCAAGAGGAAAAAGAAGAGGAGGAGAAAACCCAGCATAACACCTGAAAATATGTGTAGTTTACGTTTATGGACTTCCCACCTTCCCAAATAGGTGAGGTGAGATTGTGTCTTCTTACATGAGAAAGGAGAAGAGAATAAGCACCGACTAGGTGCCAGGTACATGCTAAGCACTTTACAAATATTATCTCATTTTTATCCTACCTTGGAAGTTGGTGTTATATCATTTTACAGTTGAGGCAGCTGAGGCAGACAGAGCTTAAATGACTTGCCAGGGTCACATGCCTTGTAAGTATCTGAGGTTGAACTTGAACTCGGGTCTTCCTGACTCCATGCCCACTGCTCCAGTCACTGCACCACCTAGCTGCCTCCAGTCTCTTCTTTGGAGCCATGCTCGTACTTTATAATTCTGCAACATTCCCTTTTGATTGTTCTGTGGCCGTTCTTTCCGTGTTCATTGTTGTTATCATCTTGTGTGTCGTTTTATTGGCTCTGCTTACTTCACTATGCATCAGAGCTGTGAATCTTTCCATGTTTTCCATTAATTACATTCATCAATTCTTATAGCACATAATATTCTATTACATTTGTCACCACCATTGGTTTTGCTGTTCGCCAATAAATGGGTATGTACTTTGTTTCCAATTCTTTGATATCACAAAAATTGCTGCAGAATAGGGGGACCTTCTGCTTAGCAATGGCCTCTTTTGGGGTATAAGCCCAGTAACGGAATCTATACCTTAAAAGATACGGACATTCTAGTCACTTTATTTGCATAATTCCCAATAGCTTTCCAAAATGATTGGAAGTCCACCAACAATACATTAGCATGCTCATCTTTCCACAATCCCTGCAACACTGAATATTCCCATCTTATGTCATTTTTGCCAAATTTCAGAGTGTGAGTCGAAATCTGCAGGGTTGATTGTGTTTGCAGTTCTTTTTTTGAGAATTGTTTGTCTGTTAATACCTATTTCTCTTCATTTCTGAGGGGCAGTCTCACATTTGATTTACTTAGGTTAACGAATTGAGTCTTCTCATAAGAATCCTCTTCATCCTCTTCCCAAGATAAAGGTTACATATAGTAAATGATTTCAGAAAGAAAGATCCAGCCATCTTCCGTGTCTCTATTCTTTCTCCAAACATGGCAAGAAAAAAAACAAACAAACCCCCCCCCTCAAAAAACCAACATGACAAGAAAACAGTGCTTTTCTCAAGCACTGATAAAATTCTCTTTATAACATTTCTTCCTAACATAAGACAGTTCTCCCAAGGAAGAAATTTCTCTTCACCCTCCTCTTTGTCTTCTCCATACTGATTTTTTTTGATAATTAATTAATTTATTTTTAGTTTTCAACATTCACTTCCATAAGGTATTGAGTTTTAATTTTTTTCCCCCTCCCACTTCTTCCTCCTCCCAAGATGTCATAAAATCTGATATAGGGTGTACATATACATTCATGTTAAGCATATTTTCTCATTAGTTATGATGTAAAGAACAATTAGAACCACTAGAGAAACCACTAGAATGAAGCAATAAGACAAAACAACAAAGGAAAAGGAAAGAGCAAATAATATGCTTCAATCTGCATTCAAACTCCATAGTTCTTTCTCTGGATGTGGATAGCATTTTCCATCATGAGTCTTTTGTTGTTGTTTTTTGTTTTGGGTTGGTTTTTTTAGGCAATTGGGGTTAAGTGACTTGCCCAGGGTCACACAGCTAGTAAGTGTCAAGTGTTTGGTCTGAGGCCAGATTTGAACTCAGGTCCTCCTGACTTCAGGGCCAGTGCTCTATCCACTGCGCCACCCAGCTGCCCCCTATCATGAATCTTTTGTTCTTTCTCTAGATGTGGATAGCATTTTCCATCATGACACTTTTGGAGATGTCTTAGATCTTTGCATTGCTGAGAAGGGCTAAGTCTATCAATGTTAGTCATGGCACAATGTGGCTGTTACTGTGTACGACATTCTCCTGGGTTCTGCTCACTTTACTCAGCATCAGTCCATGAGAGTCTTTCCAGGTTTTTCTGAAGCCCACCTGCTCATCATTTCTTGTAGCACAATAGTATTCCATTACATTCATATACCATAACTTGTTCAGCCATTCCCCAATTGATGGGGAGGCAGCTGGTGTTCATATCCTTTGACCATTTATCAATTGGGAATGACTGGTATTCTTATAAATTTGACTTGGTTCTCTATATATTTTAGAAATGAGGCCTTTATTGGAGACACTGGTTGTAAAAATTCTTTCCCAGTTTTCTGCCTCCCCCCTAATCTTAGATGCATTGGCTTTATTTGTGCAAAAACTTTCCAATTTAATGTAATCAAAATTGTCCATTTTGTATTTCATAACGTTCTCTATCTCTTGTTTGGTCATAAATTCTTCCCTTCTCCATAGATCTGAAAGGTAAACTATTCCTTGCTCTCCTAATTTGCTTGTAGTATCAGTCTTTATATCTAAATCTTCTACCTATTTTAACTTTATCTTGGTATAGGGTGTAAGATGTTGGCTTATGCCCAGTTTCTGCCATATATTTTTCCAGTTTTCCCAGCAGTTTTTGTCAAAGAGTGGTTTCTTACCCCAGACATACTATATTTCACAGATCAAAATTAAACACATATAATACTCTCTCTGACTCCATAGGGTGAAATATCTCATAGAAGGACATCTAAAATGCTAACTCTTAGGTTCTCTGTGTCTTAAAAAGACAATAACAATCTTTATAGCAGAGATTCTTAACATGGCATCTGTGTACTTGGTATATACATACATACATACATACATATATGCATATATATATATATGGAACTGTATTTCAATTTAATTGATTTCCTCTGAATTTTATTTTATACATTTAAAAGTATTATTCTAAGAATAATTCTTTTTATGAGAATAATAGAGAAATAATAAATCTAAGAAGCATTCCATAGGCTTCCCCAGATTGACCTAGGGGAGGTCTATGACACAAGAAAGATGAAAAATCCCTTGTTCAGTGGCCTCTGGAAGAAAGGGTTTTGGAACACTGTTTGAAAAGGAATCAGACAGATAAAAGACAGAACAGCATCTCCAGTTTTCCATATACTGTTTCCCCAATCTTGCATTCCCAACTGCCTGTTGGACATTTTCAAAATGGATACTGGACCTTACCTTGGGTTCCACCATTCAACTAGTTCTGAGAAAGTGCAATTGATATCAGCTAACCCACATCTCCATTGTGTTCCCAAAGAACCCTGTGAGAAGCTGTTGTATGCTTCACCCAAATCGTAGTAAATTCTAGAGCATTCTCCTTGTCTAGAGGTTTCGAGCCTTGCATCCTTAGGATCAGAAGAGATGGGAGGTGCCTATCAGGTTGTTCCTAATCACTCACTTGTTTCAGGTTTTGACTTTGTTTCAGGGCGTGACTGAAGAACCCACTCAAACAAGGATGTCACCTCACTCAGGGCCAACTTAAAGGGATGTGCCTCAAGTCCCCATCTTTGGCATTGTCTTGGCCAATGTTTTATTAATAACCTGGATGAAAGAAAGAATTCATGGGTGGGAGGGATAGGTAATTCAATGGATAGTGAGACTAAGCCTTAAAAGGATGCCCACAAGCTGAAAAGGTGAGTCCAGAGTGTAGTGAGTAATGGGAAATCTTACATTTAGGTCCATGTACTCAATGGTATACTTATAGCTTGAGCAGGACTGGCCGAACAACCTTCCTGAGGAAATTTTTCTTGACCACAAGTTTAGCGTGAGCCAACATTGTGGGGGGGGATGGGGGTGGGAGGAGATGCTGGGGTAGGGGAGTGGTCAGTGCACAAGCGCTTCCTAAATTGAAAATTTTGAAATTTAAAAATCAAAAAATTGAATTGAAATTGAAAAAAATTGAAAATTGAATTGAAAATTGAAATTTAAAAAATTGAATTGAATTGAAAAATTGAAAAAAACTACATCAGGTAGTGAGCTCTCCATCATGGAAATATGTGTTAGTAGTAGCTGGGTATCCAACTTTTAGTCTTGTTATAGAAGGGACTGCTAGGTAACCTCTAAGTAATTTCAATTATTCTGCAATGTCTTATTCCTGATGGAGTCTCCCCTTTCTGGAAAGCTCATGAACAGCAGGGTTCAGAAAGGCCATGAACACTGAAGATTGAGCTTGAGGCAAGAGGGCTGCCATGTTTTCCTCCTCTTGCTAGACTCTCCCTCTGTTTTTTACAGTCTATCAGGGGAAATGCATCCTAACAGAGTCAGGGTGGTACACCCCACTAGAATTTTTGGCCAAAGACCCTGAGATCGATATTACCACCTGGACCCACAGCATCCGCAGTGGTGGACTGACCCTGCAGACCCTGATTGAGGTAAGACCACAGGCTCAGGGCTGGGCCCCCCCCCCCAGAGTTCCAGGCAGTCCGACACCTTGCATGTTCATAAGGAGGATAGTTCAGATGACATGAGGTCACAGGAAGGTCAAGAGTGGTCCACAAGAATCCAGTGCCCTGGACTTCGGCTGAGGCTCTTGTCCTCTCTCAACCCCTAGTCAGAATTTATCCACCTTGTGTTTCTCTCATCCCCCCTGGCTTCTGCCTGCTAAGCGGAAAACAGTATAATCTGATCCACTAAGCCAAGTGAATGTGTTTTAATGGGAGCTAATGGGTTAATAAGACAGGGCAGTTCCATCATGGTATAACCCACTCTTCTCTAAGCTACGTATTTCATCATGCAGTCTTCTCAGTGGAGAATCGTACCTTCCTGCCCTAAGCAGGACTCCAACATAAACTATTGGCAGTAGAATGTAAGCACCCTGAGGGCAAGGGTTACTTCACTTCTGTTTTTGTAGGCCCAGCACCAAGCACAGTGCCTGGCATATAGGAGGTGCTCAATAAATGCTTGAGTTGAGTTGAACCAGAGGGCAGGAGCAAGAGCAGGGCGAAGACAAGCCGGCCAGAGAAGGGCAGAGTTTCAAGCACAGGGGAGGGACCTTGGGATTCAGATCACGGATCACAGGTGGCTGCCTTCCCCACATAGGCTGTGGGCCGCAGAAGCTCCCTGGGAGCGTGATTGGTCAGGAGTTGGAGGGAAACTGGACCAAGGGGGACAGCCCCAAAGGGGGCTGGAGGATAAAGGAGCATGCAGTGACCGAGTGCTGAGCCAACTTAACGCACATGTAGCCTGCCCTCCGCTAGGCTCACGAGGAGCTAAAGGCTATCTTCTTAACAGATTGAGGCTGGATGTTGGGGAGGAGAGCTCAGGCCCTCCAGTGTTGGCGCTGGAGGAAGCTACCACGTCTCTGGCCTCCAGGAGCTGTGCAGGACGACCTTTACGTGCCAATCTCCAGTTCCATGATTCTCCCTCAGTAGCCTAGGGAGGTATAACGAGGATGCTTCCTAAAATGAAGGAGACTCATCCCCTAGCCATCTAAATCTATAAAGGGCTCACCAAGACAGCTTCACACATTCTAACCTCTGATGGGAGCACTGGTAAGGATGTTTAGTCAATCCAGCAAGCATTTCATGAAGCACCTTCATGTGCCAGCTACCACGCTAGGTCTGGGTACACAGCAATGAAACAATTCCTGACATTCTATCAGGGGAAGCATGGCCAGGGTCCCCAGACCGCTGGAGGCCAGGACCCTATGGCCTCTACAGCAAGAAATCAACATGCAAGTGCCTGCAAGATCTTGTCACTGACCCTTTGATATAGCACTATGCTACTCTGCCCTCTGGTGTGCTTCTGCTCACCACCCCAAGGAGCTCTCACGCTCCAATGTGAAAGACTTTATCTCAGAAATACACACCACCCAGGTGACACTATCACACGCACTCAGGGCCAGCCACCAGTCCCTGGGTCTCCCAGAGCACTGCTACTGTCTTGCTCCCCTTCCTTCTGACACCATCAGTTTCATAGCCGCAGGAGCAGGACCAGATGCAGGATGTCAGTGGAGGATTATTCCTGGGGTGACGGCTTCGTGCAGCCTGGCTGCCCTGCCTCTCCCCATGGAGCCCCCTCGTCCTTCAGATGTGGTTCTGACTTTGCACCACAGTGGGGTAGACAGTTTCAGGAGCTACATCTGAGGGACATTAGAGCATGTCAGTCAACACAGGATCGGCTGTTCCGCCCACCCCTGGGAGAAGTGATCTGCCCAAGGAAGGGCTCGGTGCCCCAAGCGGGCACCTCCATCAATGTCTCTCCATCTTCTTCTCTCTAACAGAATGACATTTTGAAGCTTCACACAAGCGACTGCTCCTGTATCATCTGCCATGAGGAGGACCCCTTCGTGAGTTCTCCCTCTCTTGTCCTGTCTTGCCTACATCCGTCTCTTAGCAGAGTAAAGCTAGGCTGGAACTTCCCCACCTTCTCATTTACCTATGAGGACACTAGGGCTGGGAGAGGGTCTTCTGCTTGCCTAAAATCACCCAGGGAGTCAGTGGAGGAGCCAAGGTCAGAGGCCAGTCTTTCCACTACACCTCAGGGCCCACCTCATGTCATCAGATGCACTCATTTGTTTTGCTTTTGTTTTCATTTTGCTTTTCGCTAGGCAGTTGGGGTTAAGTGACTTGCCCAGCGTCACACAGCTAGTACGTGTTGTGTGTTGTGTGTCTGATCCGGATTTCAACTCAGGTCCTCCTGACTTCAAGGCCGGAGCTCTATGCACTGCGCCATCTAGCTGCCCCACTCATTTGTTTTTCATGAAGGGATTAGCAGCATGCATAGTCTTTGTTATTGCTGTCTGACTCTTTGTGATTCCATTTGGGATTTTCTTGGCAAAGACACTGGAATGATTTGCCATTTCCTTCTTCAGCTTTTTTTATAGATGAGGAAACTGAGGCAAAAAGGAATAAGAGACTTGCCCAGGGTCCTAGAGCTAGAAAGTGTCTAAGGCTGGATTTCAGCTTGCTCTATCCGCTGTGCCACCTAGCTGACGAAACATGCATAAAGAGCCCCTTAAAGTTTGCAAAATGCTTTACAATTATTATCTCATTGGCTCCTCACAACAATTGTAGGAGGTCAGTGCAATGATTATCCTCATTTTACAGATGAGGAAACTGAGGCAGATAAAAATTGAGGGCTTTGTCCCAGAGTCATGCAATGACTGAGGTAGGATTCAAACTGAGGTCTTCTTATTTCCAAATCTAGCTTTCTATCCACTGCCCCCCACCCCCGGACTGAATTCTAAGGTTGTTTAATAGGATCAGTGTTGGAAGGGAGTGCCCTCACTGGTGAAATCACCAATCTCTGAAGAAGTCAGGAGGCACCATTCTATTGCTACTTACTGCCATGTATGTGTAGCCTGAAAGCCCTGTGTAAATGTGAGTTGTTATTATTACATCTACATACACACACACACACACACACACACACACACACACACACACACACACACACACACATATATATATATATATATATTTAGCAGAAGCTCACAAAAACTGCTAATTTGTTTCATGCCATATATGTTGATTTAAAAAAATGCATGAGGCAGCCAGGTAGCGCAGTGGATAGAGCACCAGCCCTGGAGTCAGGAGGACCTGAGTTCAAATCTGGCCTCAGATACTTGATACTTACTAGCTGTGTGACCCTGGGTAAGTCACTTAACCCTAATTGCCTTGCCAAAAAAAATGCACCAAGAACTTAAAAATTGGATAAATCATTTGGCAGAGAAGTCGGTGAGACTGCTGTGGTGCACTGAGGATCTGGGTTTGAATCTGTTGCTTATTCTCTATATATCCTTTTGGGGGGGTTGTCTATATATATCCTTTTGAAAAAAATCACAGAAGTTAATTTGATACCTATTAGGGATCTATGGCCTCATAGATGTCACTGGGCCTTGGTGGGAAAGGAATCCCTTATTCAAAGGGTGAGAAAAAAAGAGGGGAAAGAGTTAGCATGGTATATTAAGAAGGTATACTCATATGGAGGGAGTGTATGGTGAAAATTAGTGAAGCAGATACATAAGTGATAGTGTCAATGAAGGATACTACAGACCACTGGGACAGAAAGAGGATATAGATGAGGAGTTGGAAAAACATCACAAGCTTACAACAGAGGCACCCATTCCTTTCCTGTCTCATCCATCTGTGTGGTTTTCCCTGTATTTCCTGGGTCATAGATTTATTCTTCACAGGAGATGTCAAGTGCTTCCATGAGTATAAAATCAAACAGATCCAAGATCCCCCAGGATCCATAAGTAATACTTTCTTCTCTCTCTCACCTTTTCAGCCAGAGAATAATGATGAGTGTTTCATGTGCGTAGATGGAGGCAAGCTATTCTGCTGTGACTCCTGTCCCAAATCCTTCCACAAGGACTGCCATATCCCCAGTGTTTCACCGGAGAGGTGAGATCAGACTCCAACATGCAGAGTGTCTGGATGGATGGGGAAGTGTGAGGTGGGGCCACCATAAGTTTCAAGCTTCCAAGGTCCTTGGCTATGTTTTAAAGAGACAGCCACCCTTTAGGCATTTCCTGAAATTGATGACTCTGTCCCCAGTTTCCCAGAAATGAAACTGTGCTAGCCATCAGGGATAGTACAGGGACTCTTGTCTGCTGGAGAGGGGGACCATATCAATGCACGCAGCTCTGAGTTTGATCCATAGTCATTCAGGAAAGGTTGGGAGTACTAGGTTCTTGCCTGTGACAATCATCAGAATAGGATGGTGAGGCCTCACATGCCACATTTGGCCAACATCAGGACGCTGGCTCCATCAGGGGACCGATGCCGCCAGCCCCCAGGACTCAGGGTAAACTTACTCTAAGTCCCTTTGGAGAGAGAAGGAGGGGAGAAGGAGATGCCCATTGTGCCCTTAATGTGACTGATGGTATCAGCCAAGGACACAGAATACACATTCATAGACCCAGGGGCATGGTAGAGCATCTACAAAGGTCCTCAGTCATTACTAGAATAAGAAATGTTGACTCAGGGAGTCCGGAGATTATGCCTAGCCTGCCCAGGGGACTAAAAGCCCTCTCCCTCCTGTCTTGTCTCCCCTATTTGATTGAGGGTGATCTCCTGCAGGGCAGGAACTGTCTTTTGCCCCTTTTTGTAACCCTAACACTTAGCATAGTGCCTGGCATGTAGTAGGTGCTTAATAAAGTTTATTGACTGACTAACGGACTGACTGTTTCTCTGACCTCTCAGTGCAGAGTGGAACTGCACCTTCTGCATCATAAGGAAGAATAAGGAGAAGGAAGACCCAGAAAACAGCCACTGCTGGCAGGAGTTTGAGGTTCTAAAGCAGCGGATGTACCCCGTGCAGCAGCTGGTGAGTTAGGATGCCATCCTTTGTGAAGATCAGGCCCTTTCTGATCGCACAGTGAGCACCACCTCTCTGCTGCTGTGCGCGTGCACACACACGCGTGTGCACATACACAGAGGCTGGTCACTAGGAAAATTATTGGAATGTTCCCATTTCACTTAGACCCCATGTCTTTAAGGGCAAAGGAGACTTTCAGTCCACTTTCTGCATCTTCCAAATGCCAACGATTCTTGTGTTGTAGACAGAAGGCGCCCCTCCCCGATTACACTTTAGGATACAAGTTAATGAAAGGGTTCATTTTGGCCACTGTTTCAAGCCAAGGCAGAGAGAAGCATCATGAGGCAAGTGAAAGTCAGCCTTCAAGCTGCTTTCCACAAGCACTTAGACTGTTCAGAAAATACAGAGTTGTTCTGGGGCCCCAGCCATTAAGTCACCAGCCTTAGAGATAGTCTGTTGAGGTTCCAAGCCAGGGGAAGAATACGTCCTAATCTGCTCACCTATTGTTGGTCTCAGGGTCCAAGATGGGATGGCCTCTTTCTTTTGGTCAGCCTGGCTTGGTAACTGGGGCAAATGAAGACAAAGAGGATACCCACTCATATGGAAATAGACGAGGCTTCATGTCCAGTGAAGTCACTCGTGTCAAGTAAGGGAACACCCAGGGGCTCCTGCCCTCTGCTACCTCACTAGCATGTTCAGCCTGACAGTGAGTACATCAGGTCCTTCACTTTTTAGAGACGCTAGGAGAGACCCCCCTGTCCCCAGCTGGCCCGGTTTTATCTCACACACAAACTCCATCTTCTGCAGAAATGTGAGTATCTCCTGATGAGAATGTACTGCTGCTCGGAGAGCTTCCTGTTTATTAAAGATCCATGCCGTGTAAGTAACAGTGATATTACCTCTGAGGGCCAATTTGTTAAACATTCATCAAATTCCTACTGCCTGCCAAGCCTTGTGCTGGGCACTGACCACCTGGACAGTAGAACAGAACGGGTACCCAGCAACTGGATGTGTCGACCGATGCCTTGGGTCCCCTGGATTCACCTGGTTTCCATGTGGAACTGCAGGAACCAATTGTTTCTTCAGTAACTGATGGAAGCAGCTTCTGCATTGGAGCTGATGTCCTTTCCGTGTCTTTGCCAACAGTATAAGGTATATTCCCAGCGTGTCAGAGAACCCATGTGGCTGGACCAGGTGAAGGAGCGTCTGAGTGATGAAACTTACAACACAGTGGAGGGCTTTGTCCTGGATATGCGCCTGATTTTTTACAACTGCAAGAAATTTAACAAGGTGAGTGGCACTGCCTGCTTCCCAATGACCTGGCATCCTGATCCTGGCTCTAGATTCTGACTTCTCTACACTGCGTCTGCCCTTCGTTTCTTATCATCTTCCCTTTCTCTACTTGGATAACTCAGTGTCTGACTTGTCCTACCCTCCATATTCTGTGTCCTTTTGGCTGCCTGGATGCCCACCTCCTGGCCCACTGCTTTCCTCACCTGGGTAGGGGGTGTCTACTTGTGGGATTGCACTGTGATTCTGGTGAATTCCAACCATCCTTTACTAAAGAACCCTCAGCACACCAGGCTCTGGCTTGCCATCTTGTTCTGTCCTTGGGCACCTGGGTAGTGCCTGCTCTGGGTGACTCTCTTGACTCCCCAGGCCAAAGTCCTCCAAGATCCTTGATTTTTGGATTCTTCTTCCCAGACAGCTCTTTCCTAGGCTCATCCTCCTCACTTCCCGCCACTTCAAATCCAGTGTTGTGGTCTACCTGGTCACCTGACCTGGATCCCTCTTGAACCGAGCCACTCATAGGAAGCTACAGGCCTGGATTGGCCATGCTCATCAGAGGATTGTGGCCAGTGGACCAGAATGATGTCATGGCCAGGAGCCTCAGAGCTCTCAGGAGGGAAGAACGGGTGCTCTCTGTGAGCCTGAAGACCCACGAAGTCTCATTTATGCTAATTATTATTATTGTGCTCATCCCTGAAGACAGAGGGGAAAAAAATCAAACTAGTCAGACAAAATTCTGGATTTCTTCTACAATAGACTCAAGTGCTAGGAAATCCATCCAGATCATAGTATTCATTCATGTTCATGACAGGATAGAAAAGATTGATGGGTGAAACATTCACAATAATTCACAGAAAGGCCATCTGTTTGGGGTCTGTTGGCTATACCTGCCAGCTGCCTTCAGACCTCAGCACACTCCTTGTTCCCTCCCCATTTTCTTCCTCCTCCCTAGCCCCCCATAGTTGAGGAAGTTCATCATTCCAGACAGACACAGGGTACTGCCCTCACTGACTCCAGCTGTGGCCCAATCCTAGACAGGAGGGCTAGATCATTCCGTGGAAACCAGGATCCTTTATTCAGTTTTTATTTTAAAATTTTAATTATTTTTCTATTAAAGAAGCATTTTCTTTCCTCTTCCATTGAGAAGGAAGGAAGGAAGGAAAGAAAGAAAGAAAGAAAGAAAGAAAGAAAGAAAGAAAGAAAGAAAGAAAGAAAGAAAGAAAGAAAGAAAGAAAGGAAGGAAGGAAGGAAGGAAGGAAGAAGAAAGGAGGAAGGAAGGAAAGAAAGAAGGAAAGGAGGGAGGGAAGAAGGAAAGAAAGAAAGGAAGAAAGAAAGAGAAAGAAAGAAAGAAAGAAAGAAAGAAAGAAAGAAAGAAAGAAAGAAGGAAAGAAAGAAAGAAGGAAAGGAGGGAGGGAGGAAGGAAGGAAAGGAGGAAGTGAGGGAGGAAGGAAGGAAAGAAAGAAAGGAGGGAGGGAGGAAGGAAGGAAGAAAGGAAGGAAAAAAGGGAGGGAGAGAGGGAGGGAGGAAGGAAAGAGTAAAGAAAGGAGGAAGGGAAAGCTCTTATAACAACTAAGCAAATATCCAAACATATGTGTCTCATTTGGAGCCCATCATCTCTGTTAGGAAGTGAGTAACACACCCCTTTAGCTCTCTGGAATTGTGGATTCTCATTGCACTGATCAGAGTTCTCAAGTCTTTCAAACACTGTTTGTCTTTGTAATACTGTTGTTATGGTATAAATCGCTCCCTTCATTCTGCGTCAGTTCATACAAGTCCTCCCAGGATTCTCTGAATCCATTCCATTCATTATTTCTTACAGCACAATAATATTTCATCATATTCATATGCCATAACTTGTTCAGCCCTTCCCTAACTGATGGCCATCTCCTCTGTTTCCAATTCTTTGCCATCACAAAAAAAAGAGGTGCTATCAATATTTTTTGACATACGATTCCTTTTCCTCTTTTTTTTTCTTTCAGGCAATTGGGGTTAAGTGACTTGCCCAGGGTCACACAGCTAGTAAGTGTCAAGTGTTTAGTCTGAGGCTGGATTTGACCTCTGGTCCTCCTGACTTCAGGGCCGGTGCTCTATCCACTGCGCCACCTAGCTGCCCCTCTTTATTTCTTTCTGACATAAGCCTAATAGTAGTATCACTGAGTCAAAAAACATGCATAGTCTAGTGACTTTGGGGTAAAGTTCCAAATTGCTTTCCAGAATGATTGGATCAATTCACAGCTCCACTAACAGTGTATCAGCGTTCCTGTTGTCTCTTGTCTAGGGCGTAGGTAGCACAGTTGATAGAATGTGGTAGCTGGAGTCTGGAAGACCTGAATTCAAATCCTGCCTCAGACACCTACTATGTGACCCTGGGCAGTTTCCTCATCTATAAAATGGAAATAATGCTAACACCCATCTCCAAGGGTTGTTGTAATGATCAAATTAGATAATATTTGTAAAGTGCTATGTAAACATTAGCTTTTTTTTTTCTTTCAGGACAACCAGTTTGGTCATCTGGGAGCAAAGTTGGAGGCAAAGTTTGAGAGGGATTTCAAAGAGGTCTTTGATATTAAGGAAGCAGATGAAGTGGACCAACCAATCTTTCCATGACTCCCTCCCTGGAGGGAGGGTCTTCATTCAGATCCTCATTGTTACAAACCCGTCCAGTCCCACATGCTACTTCCTCCTTGGTCAGGACTGGGAAATTCTGGATTTGTCTCCAGTCCTCCATGCCAGAGGCTGCAAGACTGATCTCTTCCCTGGCCTTCCCCATTCTGGCATGAGGAAGCTATCCTCTGCTCTGTGCACACTTTCTGTTTCAATTCAAGACTTTTCTGGCTGGGTCTACAAGCAGTTATCAGGTTACTGTGACACGTTCAATATTCCCAATTAAACATTTCCCCTGCAGAGTTTACAACAGTCAAATGCTTTTTGTTACACTCCCAAAATGCCAAAACAATTCCACGGGAGCCTGTTGGCCTGAGATTGCTGCTTTTATTGGCACAGTTGGTAGAACATGGTAGCTGGAATCTGGAAGACCTGAATTCGAATCCTGCCTCAGACAGGCACGAGATTGCTGCTTTCATTCATTCATTTATTCATTCATTCCTGTACCAGACACTTATTTACAGGAGCCTAGGAATGATTGGGAGCTGGAAGGGACCTCATAGGCCATCTTAGCGCGCCCCCCCCCATTTTACATATGAGGAAAATGAGATCCAGAGAGGGGAAGGAGCTGGACCTAGGTGCCATGAGTAAGTAGTGAGAGTCAGAGCCAGGATTCTGACCCAAGTCCTGTGTTCTTTCTACGACCCCATACCACCTCGCTGCATACCCACCCAGGCAGGGTCCTGCCCTCAGAGGGCCAAGCACTCCCCCAATTCACTTGCTCTGTCAGCACATGCAGCAAGAAAACCAGACTTGGAGTGTCTTTGTGGGCCCCTAGGGGAAACAGTTTCCAATTCCTAGTCCACACAGACACTGAGCCACAGCCTTTGCCCTGCCCCAGATTTGCCTAGTGAGTGAGCCAGGTAGGGACACATGATAGCAAATGCCCAGGGCCAAGGATAGCCTAGGGACCCCAACGCCTGAGTTGGGTTCTATCCTTCCCTGTGCATCACATACCCTGGAAAGTAAATGCCGCCTTGGGGACTGAAGGAAGCATGCCTCCAGGAGGGGCCTGCTCTCCAGGCATGCTGGGCATGGCTCCAGGGAGAGGGCAGCGCAGCCCCTGGACGGTCAGTCCTATACCAGGCAAAAGAGGTGGCAGTTGTGTGGTTTATCCATAGGGTGACTCCCAAAGGGATAGGAGAAACTTAATAAATCCTTGTTTCCTTCTTCCTCTTTCTATACTTCATGGAATTTTTAGGATGCAAATATATTTCCTTTTTAAAAATGAAATGCTGCTTTTATTTAGTTAAAATATGTTTAAATACAGGGGTCCTCTCTTACTCTGCCCTCCCCAGACTCAGGGCAATTCAAGTTGCCAGCACCTTGGGGCAAATTCAGGATTTAGCAGCCAAGCCCCCCGAAGGGCATTTACCTAAGCAAGGCCCGCAGAGGACAAAATGCTGTAGTATTGAGAGTCAATCCAGTCCAAGCCTCTCATTCTACTGATGGGGAAACTGAGGCCCGGAGACTTTCCCAAGGGACTTTCCCAAGATTCCACTGGGAGCAACGGTCAGGCCCAAATCAGGAGAGTGAGGCTGGAGAAGGAGGTAACAGGAAGTCAGGGAAAGGAAAGTAACTGGACCACTCCAAGATAGGGACCTGCGAGTTCATATCCACAGAGCCAGGTCCCAGGAGGGGATGGGCCACTGAGGGCCAAAGTATTACGGGTAGGAATAAAAGTGGGGGAGAGCCTTCATCTTCCCCAGCAGGGAGTGTTGAGATGGGTGAGTGCCTCCCCCCCACTAACATCCTCCTCTGCCACAGATTACCTGGGTGGTCTGAGGCTCACTACCTCCATTCCTCTCTGTGAAACGCACATTGTACCTACTCCCTCCTCTTTCCCAAGGCGGAAGCCAAAATTCACTGGATTCCTTAAAAGGCAAACCCTGATATGTGTCTGTGTGTGTGTGTCTGTGTGTGTGTATGTGTGTGTATCCATGCTTAATTACTTAATTATAGCCTTCTTTGGGGGAGAGAATGAGAAAAAAATAATAAAAATATAAAAAAATTTTAAAAATCATAAAAGGTAAAAAGCACAGCAGAGAACAAAAGAAAACCAACAAGGAAGCAAAGAAAAGCTGAGCAGCTTTGACAACAATGTGTAGCGTTTATTATATAGGTTTTCTTGAGATGGAAATTTATTGTCTTGAATCCTCTTATGGTCTTCTGTGCATGTGGTGATGTTTTCTTTTTTCATTTTGTATTTAAGTTCAAAAAAAATTACCAAAAAAAAAGGAAACCCTGGAGCAAAGTCAGGGGAAAACTGGCAACCTCTGCACCAAGGGAAAAAGTAGGCTTCATTTTGGCTCCTCCAGCATGAGGACTTCTGTCTTCCACAGCACAAATACTATTCCTTCCATGTGTGTTTTGGCAGCAAATGCCCTACTTTTCTGGAAACCTCTCCTGCCATCTTTGCCCGTAAAATAGAGAACATTTTAATCATCGATAAAGCATGAGCAAGAGATACAAATGTTCTCTCCTTATTCCCTTCAGGGAGGCTTTTGAGACATCAGTGAAACAGTCATTCAACAAGCATTTATTAAGCACCTACTATGTACCGGGGGAGGAAATATACATTTATATAGCACCTACTAAGGGCCAGGCACTGTGTGCTAAGCACTTTTACCAATATCTCATTTGATGTGCCAGGCGCCATGCTAGTGACAGGGGATACAAAGAAAGGTGTTGCCCTCAAGGAGCTTATTGTCTAATGACATACAAAAAGCTATGTGCCAATAAGATGCATGCAAGATAAAGTAGAGATCATTTCAGAGGGGAGGCATTAAGGCTAAGGAGGACTGGGGATAGAAACAAGATGTCAGAGTATGAGGAAGAAGTACAGCAAGCACCTTGACCCCCCCTTCCAAACTCCCCCAAACATATCTAGGTAATGTGCCAGACTGAATCCTGATGGGGAAACCCGAGAAAAATATCAACGGGTGTCACTTCTCCGCTCTAGATCAGCACAGGGAGATAAAGAGGTCTGCAGGCCCTGGTGATGGAGTCTTACCAATATTATGCTCCAGGGAGCACTCCAGGACCCTGGTAAGAGTGCTCATACCAGAACGCTAGGGGACTGGAATAGCTGTTGTCTGGCAGCTTTGTTGTTGACTAACCAGTTCTAGGTCATAGATCCAAGGCAGACTGAGAAGGTGACCTGTGCCCAGGTTGGGGTGGGGCACTCAAGGGTGAGGAGCCACAGCAGGGGATGAGCTGTGGAATCAAGCTCAGAAGCAAGCTCCAGGGTAGCTCAGACCTCTGGAAGAGAGGGGTCTCAGTTCCAGTTTCTAGCCTAGTCTGAAGACTGCAAAGGAATAACCAGGTCAGGAATCCTAGGCCAAGGGGAGATTATAGAATCTGTCATTCTAAAGCAATCAGCCTCCCAGGTGACTGATGGGGGCTGAACGCATCCGCAGGTTCCTATTGCTCAGACCCAGACCCAGGTCAGACATGTGCAGAGCTCAGACCAGGGGCTAGTGATCAGACTTTACCCTGGATCAGACTGCTGGAGCAGTACTGAAAGCCCGCGGGTCCCCAGCCTGTCCCTGAGATTGTAGAATAACTCAACACTCAATACTCCCAAGAAAGGAGCAGCAAGGCTAGCCCAGAAGTATATAGAAGTATACTTTCCTTCAGAAATGTACAGAATCCACCCTTCACACCAAGTTCAAAGTCAGGAAGTAAGTTAGAAGAATGGGCAAGCAAAAAAAAAATAATCCCACCTTAAAAAGCTATTACGGTGACAAGGATACTCCAGATGCAATCCCAGAAGAAGAGGGTGACTACAAAACACCTACAAGTATAGTTTCAAGGGAAAATGCAGCTTGGCCACAGATTCAGCTAGAAGTCCTGGAAGAGGTGAAGCAAAAGGTATTTTTTAAAGAGTTAAAGATAACCCACTCTTTGAAAAAACTGGAAAAGAGTATGGGAGAAACTAGACATTAATCCAAATCTCACACCATATATCAAAATAAAGTCAAAATGGGTTCATGATTTAGATACAAAGGCTGATACTGTAAGCAAACTGGGAGAGCAAGGAATAGTGTACCTGTCAGATTTATGGAAAACAGAAGAATTCATGACCAAACAGGAGATAGAGAACATTACAAAAAGCAAAATGGACATTAAATTGAAAAGTTTTTGCACCAACAAAGCCAATGTGACTAAGATTAGAAGGAAGGCAGAAAATTGGGAAAGAATTTTTACAACCAGTCTCTCAGATAAGGTCCTCATTTCTAAAATATATAGAGAATGAAGTCAAATTTATAAGAATACAAGTCATTCCCCAATTGATAAATGGTCAAAGGATATGAACAGGCAGTTCTCAGAGGAAGAAATTAAAGCCATCTATAATCATATGAAAAAAATGCTTTAAATCACTATTGATTAGAGAAATGCAAATCAAAACAATTCTGAGGTACCACATCACACCTATCAGATTGGCCAACATGACAAAACAGGAAAATGATAAATGTTGGGGAAGATGTGGGAAAATTGGAACACTAATGCATTGTTGATGGAGTTGTGAAATGATCCAACCATTTTGGAGAGCAATTTGGGACTATGCCCAAAGAGCTATAAAACTTTCTATACCCCTTGACCCAGAAATACTTTGACTAGGTCTATATCCCAAAGAGATCAAAGGAAAAGGAAAAGGATCTGCATGTACAAAAATATTTATAATGGATATTTTTCTGGTGGTAAAGAATTGGAAATTGAGGGCTGGGTTCCCAATGCTCACTGGGAAATGGCTGAACAAGCTGTGGCATATGAATGTAATGGAATACTATTGTGCTATAAGAAATGATGAGCAAGCAGACTTCAGAAAAACGTGGAAAGATTTGTATTGTCTGATGCTGAGTGAAGTGAGCAAAACTAGGAGAACGTTGTATACAGTAACAGCCACTATGTGCGATGAATAACTTTGATAGACTTAACCCTTTTCAGCAATGCAAGGATCTAAAATATCTCCAAAAGTCTCATGATGGAAAATGCTATCCACATTCAGAGAAAGAACTATGGAGTGTGAATGCAGATCAAAGCATACTATTTGCTCTATTTCTTCTATTTTGTTTCGTTTTCTCTTTCTTGTGGTTCCTCCTATTGGTTCTAATTCTTACTTACAACATCACTAATGTGAAAATATGTTTAATAGGAATGTATATGTATAGCCTATATCAGATTATGCACCCTCTTGGGGAGGGTGGTGGGGAGGAAGGGGGAGAAAAATTTTAAACTCAAAAGCATGT